CAGCCATCAACACATTTGTGAAGGAATTTTTACTCCCCAAAAGAGCGCCCCCCCATGGCAGGAGAAAAAAGTCAATTTTTTCTTGTCCCCTTACATGAAAATACACATTGTTGAGTGTCACGCCTGAACGCTTTGTCATATTGACACAAAAATTGACAATCATGTGTATCTCAATTAGATCTACGAAAAAGTCAAAAAGCGCGTATCTGTATAATGTACGGTTAAAGGGCTATTTCGCATTTTTTGCCGATTCGCACACATTGGAATGTGGCTATCTCCTCCTAAGGCTTTCGTCCCACCGATACCAAATTTGCTCAGGGCAATCTACACCCCATGCCCATTCAAAGTTGTAAAAATCATGACGCTGCACCCCACGGTTTACGTTCTAGGGGGCGCCAAAGATGACCCAAAAATCCACATTCTTAAAAGTCATTTTGGCCACTGCAGGAGTACAGAGTACTGCAGTTCTAGGGGGCGCCAAAGATGACCCAAAAATCCACATTCTTAAAAGTCTTTTTGGCCACTGCAGGAGTACAGAGTACTGCAGGATACACACACATACACACACACACACACACACACACACACACACACACACACACACACACACACACACACACACACACACACACACACACACACACTCAGAGTCTGTTTTTTAGCACCTGCAAAAACATGCTGTTTACATATTTGACAAGAATGCAGAGGCTTCCTTTTGCCCCTGAAAAAAATCAGATTTCAAACACAACTTGACTGTTCATTTCTCCAAAAGACAACCATGAAGCTCCATCCAAACCTGAAGCAGATAGTTGGTGCATGTGTACAGTAACCTGAGGGGAGTGAGGTGACTATTTCTGAGGAGAACATGAGCAGTGAAGATTCACCTTGGAGCTAGAACAGGGACGTGCACATGATTATACAGGGGCAGGGGCTCAAGTTTTTTCCAGTCATTTATACAATATGGAAATTAATGTGAAATTAAACCACAAATATGTGTGATGAACTGTTTTTAAAACTTAAACTTCAAATAAAAATTGTAAACTTCAAAACATATGCAAATTTTTAACAAAGAACATAGTAATTTACCTCTATTTACATCAAAATGCAGGCAATGGCCCAGGCGTTCTTTGTAAAATTATTTACAAAACACTGTATAGTCTCACAAATGTCACTTTTTATTTATGCCACTACAAAAAAACATGATGTAAATGATGCATGATGTAAAACATGATGTAAAAAACTTGTGTAGATCCTCCTCTATGTCAGTCCATGTGTAATTTTTCCATAATTCTTTGTTTTTTGCAGCATTTTTGTTAGTGTAACTGCAGATTGTGCTGACAGTCTATGGCAAAAAAACAAAAACTGAAAATGCCTCAACATGAACCCCTGGTGGTCTCTGAGGGTGAAACCTGCTAACTGCTGCAGCTCTGTCAGCTTCAGTCTCCCATGCAGAGCTCGGAGCGCATGTGTGGCTCTGCACCCTTAGCAGCGTTGCTAACTCCTCAGTAAGGAAAGCCTGCTTCATGTCAGAGTCTCTAAACTCCAGAAGAAGTCGATAAAAGTCCCTTTCTTTCTAAAAAAAAGTCGTTAGGGGGTCTGAAAAGTAATTGAATCTAACAACAAAGTCGCTAGGTTTGCAACTACGTGTCCCAGACTGCATCCCTGCTGAGAGTCCCTCCCTCCCTTCTCATGTTGCAGGAAGAACGTAAGCGCCCGCCCCTTGTCAATCAGTCACCATATAATTTTGGATTGGTTGTTGTGGTGAAGTTTTCCACCAATAGGAGAGATGTTGTGGTGTGTTTTTTTTTTCTTTTGGCAAGCCTTTTCCGCCTGTAAGACCTGTCGCTAATGTGTGCATGCTATGTTTTCCTGTCTCATACAGCGCGATCGAGCGCCGAACGTGATCAAAACAAGCAGAAAAAAAGTATCGCGGACATAATTTATCATAACTCTGGTTTTATTTGGCCTATCAACACAATTTAAAAACTGGTATATAGGTTGAGGTCCTCACTTTTGAGACCTAACTCTCAGATGAATCTTCAAAATTCACCTCAGAAATATGCTTATTATTCTTCTCAGAGTACTGCAGGATACACACACAGACACACACGCACACACACACACACACACACACACACACACACACTCAGAGTCTGTTTTTTAGCACCTGCAAAAACATGCTGTTTACATATTTGACAAGAATGCAGAGGCTTCCTTTTGCCCCTGAAAAAAATCAAATTTCAAACACAACTTGACTGGTCATTTCTCCAAAAGACAACCATGAAGCTCCATCCAAACCTGAAGCAGGCAGTTGGTGCATGTGTACAGTAACCTGAGGGGAGTGAGGTGAGTGCTTCTGAGGAGAACATGAGCAGTGAAGATTCACCTTGGAGCTAGAACAGGGACGTGCACATGATAATACAGGGGCAGGGGCTCAAGTTTTTTCCAGTCGTTTATACAATATGGAAATTAATGTGAAATTAAAAAACAAAGTATGACTGTCCTGTGTAGGTGACAGTGATATCCAATAGGCTAGGCACTCACGAGGCTGGCTGTGGCAAGTGTAAGTGAAAGCAACACGCACTGGCAGGAAGAACAGCAAACGCCGATGAAGGAAAAGGGTCTTTGCAGTGATGGGCGTTACCAGAGAGGGCGATGGCCAGAGGAAACGAATGGGACGGGGAGGCAGCGCGTTGGGGGGGGGGGGGGGGGTGCGACACGGCTCGGGCCTGCCAGTGCCCCAACGGGGCCCTAGTTAGGGCCCGAGCGTAGCTGCTAAGCAGCTGCGAGAGCCCTCTTGTTCCTGCATGTTTCCTTCTTTAGGGCCCGAGCGTAGCTGCTAAGCAGCTGCGAGAGCCCTCTTGTTCCTGTAGTTTCCTTCTTTTGTTAGGGCCCGAGCGTAGCTGCTAAGCAGCTGCGAGAGCCCTCTTGTTCCTGATGGATTCTTCTTTTGTTATTATTATTATTTTTCCTCCGCTTTAAACTGGAAAATGGCCCACTTCCCACTGGCGAAAACTCATGAAATTTGGCAGGACGACCGGGCCTGGTGAAAAATTCGATATTCTGAAGTCGCCCAAACAATAAAATGCAAAATGGCTCCATAGCGCCCCCTAAGGTGGAAATTCACACTATTGACTGTCACGTCTGTACGTTTTGTCATATTGACACAAAAATTGACACACATATGTATCTCAATAAGATCTACAAAAAAGTCAGTGCGGGCGTATCTGTCAAATGTACGGTTAAAGGGTTATTTCGCATTTTTTGCCGATCCGCACACATTGGAATTTCGCTAACTCCTCCGAAGGCTTTCGTTCCACCGGCACCACATTTGCTCAGGCCAGTCTACACCCCATGGCCATTAAAAGTTGTACAAATCATGACGCTGCACCCCACGGTTTAGGTTCTAGGGGGCGCCAAAGATAACCCAAAAATCCACATTCTTAAAAGTCTTATAACTTTTTATTTTTGTCCTCACTGCCCTCCAAGTTTTCTAGGATGATGCAATGTCCAGCCATCAACACATTTGTGAAGGAATTTTTACTCCCCAAAAGAGCGCCCCCCCATGGCAGGAGAAAAAAGTCAATTTTTTCTTGTCCCCTTACATGAAAATACACATTGTTGAGTGTCACGCCTGAACGCTTTGTCATATTGACACAAAAATTGACAATCATGTGTATCTCAATTAGATCTACGAAAAAGTCAAAGAGCGCGTATCTGTATAATGTACGGTTAAAGGGCTATTTCGCATTTTTTGCCGATTCGCACACATTGGAATGTGGCTATCTCCTCCTAAGGCTTTCGTCCCACTGATACCAAATTTGCTCAGGGCAATCTACACCCCATGCCCATTCAAAGTTGTAAAAATCATGACGCTGCACCCCACGGTTTACGTTCTAGGGGGCGCCAAAGATGACCCAAAAATCCACATTCTTAAAAGTCATTTTGGCCACTGCAGGAGTACAGAGTACTGCAGTTCTAGGGGGCGCCAAAGATGACCCAAAAATCCACATTCTTAAAAGTCTTTTTGGCCACTGCAGGAGTACAGAGTACTGCAGGATACACACACATATACACACACGCCAACACACACACACACACACACACACACACACACACACACACACACACACACACACACACACACACACACACACACTCAGAGTCTGGTTTGTAGCACCTGCAAAAACATGCTATTTACATATTTGACAAGAATGCAGAGGCTCCTTTTGCCCCTGAAAAAAATCAAATTTCAAACACAACTTGACTGGTCATTTCTCCAAAAGACAACCATGAAGCTCCATCCAAACCTGAAGCAGGCAGTTGGTGCATGTGTACAGTAACCTGAGGGGAGTGAGGTGACTGCTTCTGAGGAGAACATGAGCAGTGAAGATTTACCTTAGAGCTAGAACAGAGACGTGCACATGATTATACAGGGGCAGGGGCTCAAGTTTTTTCCAGTCGTTTATACAATTTGGAAATTAATGTGAAATTAAAACACAAAGTATTAATAGAAAGGTAGTGACTGTCCTGTGTAGGTGACAGTGATATCCAATAGGCTAGGCACTCACGAGGCTGGCTGTGGCAAGTGTAAGTGAAAGCAACACGCACTGGCAGGAAGAACAGCAAACGCCGATGAAGGAAAAGGGTCTTTGCAGTGATGGGCGTTACCAAAGAGGGCGATGGCCAGAGGACACAAATGGGACGGGGAGGCAGCGCGTTGGGGGGGGGACGCGACACAGCTCGGGCCCGCCAGTGCCCCAACGGGGTCCTAGTTTCTTTTTATTGCTGTATCCAGATATGGTATAGATTCCTCTCCACACTTCACGGATGTTGCTGTGTTGTAGATTCTTTTCTATCTCCTTTTTGTACTCCAGCTTTGCAATCTTCAGTCTCTTCTTCAACTCTTGTTGCACTTGTTTGAGTCGTTCTTTGTAACCATCTTTAAAAGCTTTCTTTTAGTGGTTAAAGATTGCTTTCATGTCACTTGTGATCCAGGGTTTGATGTTGGCGAAACAGCGAACAGTCTTGATGGGTATATTGGTGTCTCTACATAAGTTGACATAATCAGTAAAGCAGTCAACCTTTTTATCAATGTTCATACTATCCACATCTTTTTCCAGCAGCACATTCCAGTCTGTTGATTTAAAACAGTCCCTAAGAGCTTCACTAGCTTGAGGTGTCCATCATCTGATTTTGCCTTTGATAACAGGCTGCCTCAGTACACAACGTCTGTAACAGGTTTGCAGATAGACCAAGTTATGTTCTGACTTGCCCAGTGATGGTAAGGCAGTGGCTCTGTAGGCTTCTTTGATGTTGGCATACAGCAAATCCAGACTTTTGTTTTCTCTGATAGGATAGTTCACAAACTGTGTGAATCCAGTCAGGTGAGAGAAGAGGGTGACATGGTTGAAGTCTCCCGATATTATTAGATTATTAGATTATTAGTACCTCAGGGTGTTGAGTCTGTAGCCTGGCTACACTATTTTGCAAAACAGCACAAGGAATTTCTTCAGTTGATTTGGGTGGAATGTAAACAACTATTGTTATGATATGACTAAATTTTCTTGGAACATAATATGGCCGAGGAGCTTATAAGAGTGAAACCAGGTAGATCCTCAGTGGAGTCCGAGTTGTTTTGATATAATAATTCTCACTATTCATGTCTTATTCTACAAAAATTCTGACATTAACTGTTTCATCATATTCATACCTGCCTTGTTTTCTAAACCTACTAAATTTCCATCAGGCAGTGCCTTCAGGTTTCAGTTTTCCACAGTATAAATCCCTCTGACCATTCATGCCTCATACTGCTCCTTTGTACAATTTTCTATTCATTTAAACAGATTAAAACTTTCATATTTCACACATTTAAACTGTTGTGATTGTAAGCATGTGAAATTATTCATTCTTTCATAAAAGTGAATTAAAACTCAAGACTTCCATATTGTTACTCTATTGACATTGAATCAAAAAAAAAAATTAAAATTAAAACAGCAATAGAACAACATGTGGTGTATATGGCACCATCAGCCTTCGAACCTCTAAGCATGTCAGGAAAAAACTCCCCCAAAAAATGCTTTCTCAGGACAAGAGGAAAAAACCTTTAGGTAGGCCAGATCTTAGAGGGATCCCCTCCCAGGACAACTAATCATGCAGTATTTTCGAGTTCTAAGGTCAGCAGAGATCAAGTGGCTTCAGGGTCCCTGGTTGCTAGGTTTGGCTTTGCAGCTTATGTAGAGCTGGTTCTGTGATGAGCTGAGAGGAAAGACAACAGTTACACCAGAAGATGAGACATACTTGGTGAAGCTCAGAGCTGTTGTTCCCCAGGTCAGAACCCTTCTCTGCTGTTGACTCAGTGCTTGGTTCTAGGAAGCCACAATGAAGATCTGCAGGACTTTGCTAGTTCTTCAGCTCATGCTGAGTTCTGTGATTTACAGAGAGAAGTGAAGGTTGTCACATCAGATGAACACAAACAAATGATGTGACTGCTGAAACAAATACATACCAGTTAAAGGTCCGGCATTGTGTGAGCAACAACTTTTCTAATGCTGGATCAAAAGTTTCTTCGGCTCTGAGAGTCACAGTGATGAGTTGATGGACTTCTTTTGTTGCTGACCGGTCACACACACACAGAGGGTTTGTTTTCCTGTACAGCACTGGCAGACAAAACTTTCCATTAATTTTCATTACCTTTAAACCTTTTTTAAGCAAATGTCACAAAACTCTTCATGATCAATAAATTGTTCAGTCGACTCACAACATGCTTAAGTCCTGCAGAAGATCAGTTGCAGCACCTCCTTTCAGAATAGTGCTGCGTACACGGTGTGTCGGTTTAACTGGTGTTAAGTTAACTGGTGACACTCCAAGCAGATGTTCAAGAGGCATGGCTTTTGAGGACCTTTGTTGACATTCCGTTTATCATTCACCATCTAATTACACACTTGCAACCGAATCGTATCAATTTATAGGGCCTTTTGAGACATGCATGTCTAGCGGAATGAGTTTATTGGGTCAAAGATGAAGATGAATGCACGAAACATAGGAAGAAGGAAATCGGTGACTGTGCAAATGCCAGTTCAAAATATAGCTGTCAACGAGTGAGAAATTTAACAACCCACTGAGCAAAAGACGTTTATTAGAGGTCTAGTCTAAATTTATACTTCATTTCAATGTCGGGATTCCAGCTATTTTTAGACATGATTTATACTTCGCCCTTAACTTCATTTTTCGATAACTTTTTATGCAATAAACTTCTGTATTTGTTTCTATGTTTTTAAATTAGTTTTTAAAAACATTGAAGCTATATTTTATTATTAATTCTGCTTTTATTTTATCCATTGTTTGAATTGTTTCTTGATTGTTTTTTATCTTGTTGTTTTGTCTAGTTATGTACAGCACTTTGTACAGCTGTGGTTGTTATAAAGTGCTCTACAAATAAAGTTGAGTTGAGTTGAGTTGAGTATTGTGCATAACTGACCTCTCAATACTGGATTACATTACTTATGATACCGTGGAGAGATATGCAGCATAGTATAGATGTAGACGTCATTTACATGTATAAATATATACTTCATTTCAACGTCGGAATTCGGTCTATTTTTAGACGTGATTTACACTTTGCACAAAACTTATTATTCGATAACTTTTTATGAAAAAGACAACTGTAGGGTGCATAACTGACCTCTAAATACTGGATTAGATTACTTATGATACCGTGAAGAGATATGCAGCATAGTATAGATGTAGACATCATTTACACGTATAAATTTATACTTCATTACAATGTTGGGATTCGGTCTATTTTTAGACGTGATTTAGACGTAAAAATGTATACGTCATTTCAACGTCTACATATAGACCGAATCTAGACAATTGATTTTAATCTACAATTCAAGAGTTGATTATTTAAAATGATAACTGAACATTGCAGAACTGATCTTAATCTATGGGTGTCAAATAACACTCCGGAGTGTGACCAGTGTTTTCGCCTTATCCGGTCAAAACGCATATATGGCAAAAAAAAACAACTTTGGATCTTAAAGCCTGGGTCCTGCTGCGCACTCGACAACAAAGTTAGTCGCTGAAATTCCATTTCATTATTAGATTTAATGTGTTTTATCCGACTGGGTAACGCCTGCTGCCACCGTGACAGTAATCCAGCCACCGTATTGGTGGAGCACGCTCACGTGACCATTCTTATTCCACCAGGAGCAAAGTAGTCCGTGATAAAAGTTACCGACATAGCCGCAAGAACACGAGATGAGTGACAAAAAAGTATTTGGTAGCTCTGCAAGAGCCCAGCCTTACACCCTTATGGAGATCGTACCATAATCGGACCATAACATGAAAACGGCTTCAAATTGTGGACCGCACAACATCCGGCTGAAGCATTGCGCTTTGTCCACACTCAACCTCATGACCGTCGGACTACAACAGAAGTTCCAGTCGTTCCAGAGTTCGAGAATTATACTTTCACCTGAAAAGAGGTGGGTGCTGCAGGAGATATTATAGAAAATGTTTATTTTTGCAAGCTTTGGTCCTCCCACCGTCGTGCATCATGATGCGTGACGGTGAAATGCATTCACGGCAAATGTTAAACTTGAGTTCGCATGTAGCCTGGTTGCTACTACGAGGGCTAGCTTGTGGCTAGTTTAGCCAGCGTGGGCCCAACACCATCAAATAGTCCATGCTAACGTGTGTTGTCATGAAAGGAAATAAGGGCCTGCTCTCTCTGTTGGAGCCTAGCTTAAAAGCTGCTAGTTAGGCTATCAATTTAAATTAGAAAATGAAGTCTATTGTGATGCTAGTACTGTTGTTTTTGTTTATCCAGTGTTAATTTTTTTATATAGTTAAATTTGTGTTTAACTGTAATTGTCATAGATTGTTTTTCACTGTGTGTGGTAGAAATGGGACGCATTAGTTGAATTATTCCAATATTAATTTGTTAATGCATTAGCAGTGCTATAGGAAATGCTAATACTAAAAATCTAAAAGTATTGGTATTAGTATTTTAGTAAGTAAAAGTAAGTATTTTTTTTTTACCAAGAGCAAAAGGTATTCATTATGCATTATGTCCTGCTTCACAAGTTGTGGTTGATCTACAAGCTCACACTGTTAAAACATTATTATTTTTCTATTTTCTTTTTTCCATGACAAGAATTGCTCCCTTCTGTTTGACTGGTGCTGCTAGGCCAATTGGGTTGTACAGTCCAGCTACTTGGCTTGAGAGAGCCCTTCTTGTCAGGGGGTTGGGTGTTTCAGTTCTCACCTCCTTTTCGAGAAGATCTTTGCCGACTCTCATCTTCTTTCTTTTGGAGAAGTTAACAGAGGTTAGCATGTACAGCTTGTCTTCATCCACTTGGTAGCCGATGCCCAGAGCTTTGTTGTCTTCTTCCCTCATTTGATTTGGAAGAATGAAAGTTTTGCCTTGTTCCTTTAGGACTTCTGTTCCCATTCCTTTCCTCCCACTTTGACCTGATCAGACCCATGGTTTAAGGAAGAAACCGCCATCTTCAACAAAAGTTGAAGATCTCTTCAACCTTTGTTTTGATTTTGCCCAGTCTGTTTAGGTTGTTGTGGGAGGTTAAGAGGTCGTCCACATAACTGTTCTTTTCAATGACCCTGCACTCTTCTTCCAAGTGAGCAAAGTTTGGCCGGCTTGCTGTTTCTCTCATGGCCAACTGAGCAATGCAACCAGCAGGTTTGTTGCCAATGTTAGAATAGAAGAATAGAATATTCCTTTATTGATCCCCCATGGGGGAAATTTTTTTGTCACAGCAGCATCACAGACAAGACAAAAAGTGCAAAATGCAGTTATAACAATAAGGGTCCTAATATTAAGAACTTAATAAATGTAATAATTAAGAAAAAAATTAGAAAAGGGAGAAGAAAAAATAAAGCTTTCTACAATATACACAATTTAAATGCCATAAAAAAAGTGGTGGTGTAAATCCAGTTTTGTTACTGTTCATTGTAAAGTCTTATTGCAGAGGGGAGGAATGATCTGCGGTAGCGCTCCGTCCTGCAGGGTGGGAGTCTCAGTCTGCTGCTGAAGGAGCTGCCTAAAGCCCCCACAGTCTGGTGCAGTGGGTGAGAGGGATTGTCCATGATGGATACAAGCTTTGTTAACATCCTCCTCTCACCCACCTCCTCCAGGGAGTCCAAAGAGCAGTCCAGGACAGAACCGGCCCTCCTGACCAGTCTATTCAGTCTCTTCCTGTCCCTCTCGGTGCTCCCTGCCCCCCAGCAGACCACTGCATAGAAAAGTGCAGATGCTACCACAGAGTCATAGAAAGTCCTGAGCAGAGTCCTGCACACTCCAAAAGACCTCAGTCTCCTCAGCAGGTGGAGATGACTTTGGCCCTTCTTGTACAGAACGTCTGTGTTTGTTGACCAGTCCAGTTTGTTGTTGAGGTGGACACCCAGGAATCTGTAGGACTCCACCATCTCAATGTCCAGACCCTGTATGTTCACTGGAACTGTTTGAGGTGTCCCCCTCCTGCGGAAATCCACAACCATCTCCTTTGTCTTACTGGCGTTGAGCTGGAGGTGGTTTGTGCCACACCAGTTGACAAAGTCAGTGATGACAGTCCTGTATTCCCGCTCATCCCCTGACGATACACATCCGACGATGGCTGTGTCACCAGAGAACTTCTGGAGGTGACAGCTCCCAGAGTTGTAGCTGAAGTCTGAGGTGTACAGGGTGAAGAGGAAGGGGGAGAGCACTGTCCCCTGTGGAGCCCCCGTGCTGCAGACCACCATGTCCGATACACAGTTCTGAAGCCTCACAAACTGTGGTCTGTCAGTGAGGTAGTCCACGGTCCATGCGGCTAGGTGACAGTCCACTCCCGCCCGCTCGAGCTTCCCCCTGAGCAATGAAGGCTGGATGGTGTTGAACGCACTGGAGAAGTCAAAAAACATGACCCTCACAGTGCTGCCAGTGTTCTCCAGGTGAGCCATGGACCTCTGCAGCAGGTAGATGACTGCGTCATCCACCCCGATGTTCGGCTGGTACGCAAACTGCAGAGGATCCAGATGAGAGCTCACCAGGGGGCGGAGGTTCCTCAGCACGATCCTCTCCAGAGTCTTCATCAGGTGAGAAGTGAGGGCCACAGGTCTGAAGTGGTTTGGCTCCCTGGGGTGCGCTGACTTGGGGACAGGAATCACGCAGGAAGTCTTCCACAGTGTTGGGACCCTCTCCAGACTCAGGCTCAAGCTGAAGATGTGCAGTAGCACCTCACAGAGCTGGTCTGCACAGTCTTTCAGGAGTCTGGGGCTGATGCCGTCAGGACCCGTGGCTTTCCTTGGCTTCATCTTCCTCAGCTCACTTCTCACCTGGTCAGCTGTTATGGAGAGGCTGGGGGTGGTGCTGGAGGGGGTGGTGGAGGATGAGTGGAGGGGGGTTGATGGTGTCGGTGCCATGGGACTGAGGTGGTGTGAATAAGAAGAAGGAGCAGCAGACGGGTCGTTGGTTAGATGAGTCGGGGGAGGAGTGGGAGTAGAGTCAAATCTATTGAAGAACAGATTCAGCTCGTTGGCCCACTCCCTGTCTCCTGCTTCAGGTCCCCTCTCATGGCCCCTGCTATGACCTGAGATGGATTTTAGGCCTCTCCAGACCTCCCTTGCGTTGTTCTGTTGCAAAAGGTTTTCCATCTTGGTCTTGTAGCTGGCCTTTCCCTCTCTGATCTTCTTCTTCAACTCCTTCTGCACCCTCCTCAGCTCCTCCTTGTCCCCAGATTTAAAGACCCTCCTCTTCTCCTTCAGGAGGACTTTCAGTTCCGGGGTCACCCAGGGTTTGCTGTTGGAGAAACACCGTACTTTCCTGGTGGATACGGTGTTCTCAACACAGAAGTTAATATAGTCCGTGATGCAGTCAGTCATGGTTTCGATGTCATCACCATGTGGGCCGCACAGTACATCCCAGTCTGTGGTCTCAAAACAGTCCTGCAGCGCCTCAGTGGCCTCCTCAGACCACCTCTTAACTTACCTGATGGTGGGGGGTTGTTTCTTCACCATAGGTATGTAAATGGGCTGCAGTCTCACCAGGTTGTGATCTGAGAGGCCCAGCGGGGGGAGGGGGGAGGAGGTGTATACATCCTTGGTGTTTGCATACAGTAAGTCCAAAGTTTTATTGTCTCTTGTTGGGCAGTTTACATACTGGCTGAAGGTAGGGAGAGTGGAGGACAGCGATGCATGATTAAAGTCTCCAGAGATGATGATCAGAGACTGAGGGTGTGATGTCTGTAGCTTGGACACTTCATTATGGAGGAGTTCACAGGCTGCAGCAGCATCAGCCGAGGGGGGGATGTAAACAGTTAACGCGATGACGTGCGAAAACTCCCTCGGCAGGTAATATGGCCGCAAACTCACAGCCAGCAGCTCAATGTCCTTAGAGCAGAGCTGCTCTTTAACACTGATGTGCCCAGCATTACACCATCTCTCATTCACATACACCGCTATCCCGCCTCCTTTCTTCTTACCACTCTCCCTCACGCTCCGGTCCGCTCTGATGAGGTGAAATCCATCCAAAGTTACGAGCGGGTCCGGAGTGAGTTCGTTCAGCCATGACTCCGTGAACATCATGAGGCTACATTCCCTATACTCCCACTGCAGCCGAGTTAGCGCTGTGAGCTCTTCCATCTTGTTGGGGAGAGACCTCACGTTTCCCATGATGATGGACGGGACAGTTGGTTTGTAACGTCTCCGCTTTGCCCGATGCTGAACTCCAGCCCTGCATCCTCTCCTTCTCCTGCGGAGCTTAGCGGGGATGTCCGGTCTCTCCCACGAAGGTGGCCGGGCTTGGCGCAGCGCCAACAGCTGTTCACGGCTGTAAACAATGCGGCCGCTGAATGGGTCGCCGGTCGCGGACTTAAAAACTCCGAAAAATAAAAGAAAACAAAGTGCTAGAGTCATGAACTGCACATCCATGGCTGGAATATGCAGACACAACACTGCTGAATGAAAAGAAAGATAAAAAGGTGCAGAAAACAACAATAAGAAGGCAAAAACGTGAAGTCTGTGAGGAGCTGCTGTGACTTGCTGCCACTCTCAGGGCGCCCGAGTCACGATGTTGACTCTGGTGATTGCATATTCACTGATCTCCTCTTCTGGGCTGTCTCTCCAGAGGAATCTGTGCAGATGCATCTCACGCTTCTCCAGCCAGACAGAGTTGTACATCTTTTTTATGTCTCCCAGAGCTGCATGCACACCTTCTCTGAATCTCAGCAGGTCAGCTCTAATGGGGTTGAGAACATCAGGTCCCTTCAGAAGAACATCATTCATGCTCACGCCTTTGAATTTCTGGCTGCTGTTCCATACAATGCGAACTGGCATTGTGACTGAATGAGGGTTTGGTGCCACCAGATGGCTCACATACCATACTGGGCGATTCCACTTGTCCATGATTTCTTTGGTGAGTTTTATGGCTGTGCCTCGATCGACCATTTCATGGATCTGGGTTGCATAGGCAGCTTTCCAGTCTGGTTCTCTGCTCAGTTGCTTTTCCATCCTTAAGAAGCAAGCCTGGACAGCACCTCTGTTGTTGGGGATAGAGGCAGGATCTTCAACCTAAGGATACTTTGCATCCTAGTGTGGAGTTGGAGTGTGAGCATCCTCCTCCTTGTAGGTGAGGCCTCCCTTAATGATCTCATATTCCCTCTCCTCAGCCAGAGTAATTTCCTTTCCTCCTGGTGGACAGTTTCCACTTCTGCATCCTCCACATCTTGGCTCACATGCAGCTCCGATGCTGTCCCAGTGCCACCACTTAAGGAACTCACAGTGACTGGTAGCTGTGAATTTATTCTGGGCTGCATCCAGCCCGACTGTCTCAGTTGTTGGACTTGTGAGTCCTTGGTATTTGACTGCTGCTGTTCTCATGGAGCGGGCAAAGTGTGTCCTGGACTCATAGGCTGCTAGCTCCACATCTTCCACCAGATCTGGGTGAGCTCCTCCAACTGTCTTGCCTAGTGGACCTTCCCATAGGACGAGGTCTCCAATGACTTTTACTCTCTGGGGAGCCAGTCTTCCCTCTCTGTGGCTTATGAGGAGCTCAACCTCCTTTGGCCTTTTCAGCTCTTCGAGCTTAACCTCTGGAAAGAAGTTATGCAGTTTTTCAGGTTCGATGACTTGATGTACTTTGGCAATTTCATCTAAGCCATGGCAGATGAGTACATGGGCTCTTTCAGTACTTTTCGGAATCTTGACTCAGACTTTGGGGAGGTATCTTTTTGTCTTCACCTCCATTGTCATCCCTCCAACTCCATGCACGACAAAGGTAATAGTCTCACTCATTAGCCTCAATCTTTCAGCAGCCTTGTGGGTTATGTAGTTGGTGTCAGATGCCAAGTCAATTAATGTACCAATTTTCTGACCAGCATTGGCAGTGACGTGCAGCAACATCATGATGACTGGAAGCTCTGAGAGGCCACTGTCCATCAGCAGCTCAGACTGGCCTAAAGTATCAAAAGCCATTGATGTTTTGTTGGTAAAAGCCTTCCTGCATCGCTCTGACATTTCAGGGGAAAGTTCAAACAAGAACTGTTCTTGTTCCTCTGTCAGTTTACTTCAGCCTTTGATGTCCTTTCCACTTTTTCTCTCCTCACTTCTTCCGATTCCTCCTTTCGGGCAGAGAAGATAATGGTGATCTGGAGTACTGCTTCTTCTCTTACAGTCAGCGTTCCTGCATAGGAAGGTTTCTTTGCAGGCTCCAGCATCATCATGGCACACAAGGCATTTACTGCATGCTCCAGTCTTTTCCAATGCAGCTCCAGTCTGTTCCAATGCAGTTCTCTTTTCAGGCAATGACAGTCTTTTGAACTTCTGACAGAAGAAAATCTTGTTCTTGTGCCCACTATCTCCGCAGACACCACATCCTTCAAGCTCTTCCTTAGTGGTTCTTGTTAAGCCAATCTTTTTCCCATATTTGTCAGAACGGTCAGGCTTCTCCATCTTGTCAACAACTTTGAGCTGTTCAAGTCTCTCAAGAACGTCTTCTTGGTTCTTGAGAAAGGTAAGGAGCATGTCAAAGTGGTTATCTGACTTGACATTGTTCTTTGGCTCCACCATGAACATCACCCAGTCTCTTTTTATGAACTCCGGCAACTTGCTCTCGATTGATTTGATCACTAGTGGGTTTTTTATGGCTCCAGAATTTCCCAACTCGGTCAGGTCTGTCAGGGCCTTCTCCACAGACTGAATGAGGTCGATGACCTTTCTTGGTTGGTTCCCTTTCACAGGTGGCATCTTCTCCAGTGTGATAGTTGGGTTGTTGCCAAACCGGTTATCCAACACTCCGAACATTTCATTCGCTGTGGTATAGGTTGAAAGTCTCAGATCTTTAAAGATTTTGTCATCGACACTCTCCAGGAGTTGGATTTTCCTCACTTCAGGCGATCCAGATGGCTCTCCTTGCCTTTGCAGGCTCTCCCAGTCTTTCTTCCATCTATGATAGTCTCTTTTGCTGCCGTTGAAGATGGGTAGAGAGGTTGGCTTTATTTTAATAATTGGTGGAGTTACAGGTTGCTGGGGAGAAGCCACTCCTGTGCCTTGTTCAGCATGCCGTGCCTTTGAAAATTCAAACTTCCTGCTTTCCAGCCTACAGTAGGATGTGTTGATGTCCTTGATCCCCCCATTCATTTGATCCTTTAAGTCCTCTGGTGTCCATTTTTCCCATATGGGCATAGCTGAGATGACTTTATTCACCCTCTTTTCCATTAGAGTGAGGAGCACTTCGTAGCCCTTGAAATTGGCACTTGCCACAGGAAAATTGTTCGCTTGGTCAATTGTTTTTTCTGCTTCAAGGATTGCTGTTTCGAGTTCACTTCTCAGTTCATACTTTGACCACAGAATATTTTCAACAAAGTCTCTCAATTCCTCCTGCTTTGTTTCAGATTCTTTGATTGAATTTTCAAGGTCAGCCTCATTGAGACTTGCTTCTAGTTCTGCATCCTTTAAGTCAGCCTCCAGTTCAATTCTGTAATCACAATTTGCGTCCTGCAACTTTCTGAATCAGTAGTTTAATTTTGTGAACTCCTTCAGTTCATCTTGCAACATATTGTTCCCTCCTCTTAAGATGAAGTTGGCCTGTCTTGTGAAGCTGCTCTTTGCAGTGGTCCTCTCTTTCTTGAGTTCCTTGACCGTCTTCCCCAAGACTTCTTCAGCCATTTTTTTCTTCTTTTTTCCTTTTGAGGTTCCTTTTTTGGTCCACAGCTCTTGATCTCCAAGCTGCTTGCTGTGGTTTACAACTGTCAAGTCCCCACAGTTTTCAGTTCCAAATGACCCATGACAACTCGATTTTCAACTCAATCAACTTCTTCATTTTCCCACTTTTCATTTGGTTCTTTGTTGTTGATTGGTTGTTCTTTTCATCAGGTTGTAACCCTTCAAGACAGAAACAACAATTAGCATTAACATTAACATGCTAAAAAAATATTTAAACCACCAATTAGTTATTAACAGTTTAAATAAACCCAAGAATAAGTCACTTTAATAATTCAATAATTAAAATTTTAAATGTTGGCATTAATTTAAACACATTTAAACATTTTTAGTTAATTAATCAATGTTTTAAACAATTAATATATTTAAACTAAGTGTTTTAAAGGCAGCTTATCAAGTTGAACATTCAATTTTTCTCGTAACTTTTGTACATTGAGTTTAAACTTTAAACGATATGTCTAAGCATTTTAAATTGTCACTTAAACAGGCCCAGTAGCCGCTTGCTGGCGGCTAACATACAACAAGCTATGGCGTCTCACCACCTGTCTCCCATTGTGTGACTAGCTCCTTCATTGTCATCGTCATCGTCATTGTCATCACCTGCGGACCTCCCCATGCCCCAGCTGTCCACTGACAACAATCAAGCGCCATCAACTCCTCCCTCTAGCTCCCCCTATCGTTTTTTTCCGCAATTACCCACTTTAGGCTGCAACGAAACTAAAAGCAATGTAACCTTTCATAAAGAACACAGTCTTTGTAAATTGGATGTTGCGGCCACCTCCACCACCGACTGTCTGTTCTTTAACTCCCCTCGGAGCTCTGGTAGAGGTGGAGGTCTTGCTACCGTGTTAAAATCCAGTTTTAAGTGTTGTCAGCCTCCTTCAGATACATTCTCCAGCTTTGAACTGCAGATGTTTGAGTTACACCTATCCTCCCCCGTTTTGTTTGTGGTCATTTATCGCCCTCCCAAATTCAACAAGGAGTTTATTAGTGACTTTGCAGAATTTCTGTCAGGAGTTACTGTAAAATATGACAATCTTTTAATTTGTGGTGATTTTTATATCCATGTTTGTTGTGAATCAAGACCTCTAGTCACAGATTTTTTAAATCTCCTTGTAGCTTTTAACCTCGTTCAGTCTGTCAAGGGCCCGACTCATGAGAAAGGTCATACTCTAGATCTGGTGCTATCCCGTGGCATATCTGTGTGTAACAATGAAATATGTGAGACAGCCTGTATCTCTGACCATCTGCCTGTGCTATTCACTGCATCCATCCCATGCCCACATGTGAACACCCGTACTGCCCCGCACCGTCTGTGCACAATCAGCCGCCAGACTGCATCGCAGTTCTCAGCCTTATATCTTTCTTAAACATCTGGGCTGATGTTTAACATGCTGAATGACAATGTCACCCCCTGCGCTGATGAGCTTTCAACACTTTTTAATTGTACCTGCACGACCATCTTGGACAATGTTGCTCCTTTTAGACTAAAACGCACTAAAGCACTTTCTGAACCGTGGCTAAATGACTCCACGCGCACTCTCAGATGTGCAAGCCGGTGCACCGAGAGAAAGTGGAAGAAAGACAGGCTTCATGTCTCTAAACAAGCTCTCCATGATAGTCTGTGTGCCTAAGTTCTTTTTAATATTTTCACGTCCCTTGTCAATCCATCTGATAACTCCCCTGTTGACTCGTTGCTGACTGTCTGTGAAAATTTTTTGAAATATTTTACTGATAAAATTTCTGCTCTCAGGCCACCTTCCTCCGCTCCTGCTGGTCATGGTCCAGCCTCTGGTCTGGATCCCACGGCCCCTCTTTTAACCGCTGTCTTTGATCAGTTTGAGCCCATATCCCTCTCCTCACTGTGATGTAGTTTCACAACTTGGGCCCACAAACTGTCCCTCTGACAGCATCCCCTCTTGTCTTTTTAAAGAAGTATTCAGCAGTGTAGGTTCTACAATTCTTTTACTGATTAAAACCTCCCTCAACACAGGGTCTGTCCCTGCTGCTTTTAATCGTGCAGTTGTACAGCCTCTTATTAAAAAGAAAAACCTAGACCCTTCTGATTTGTCTAACTTCAGGCCAATCTCTAAACTGCTGTTTTTATTAAATATCCTAGAAAAGGTGTTTTTTAATCAGTTACAATTAGGCCTTCATGATATACCGTTTGAGCATCGTCATCCCGATGTACGTGTGTGCGATAGTCACATCGCAGAGCCTGCGATGTCAGAAGTGAATGAACTCAGTTAATTTCAAGGGTAGCTGACTGAGATACACTGCATGTGACTCTGCATGTGCTGTGCAGATCCAGCAATCACCTTTGTCCTTTACTCAGTTGCCAATCAGACTCTGTTCTCAGTTGCCAATCAGACTACACTGCCAGCTGTCAATCAAAATCAGAGGAGGAAACCCACCCCTGCACATGTTCTGCGCATGGAGTTACTCGCTGGCTGCTGGTGTTGAGCCGAGAAACGCGTGTCCGCTGAGAATTACTTTCGGAACTTTACTCATGACTGTTAAGCCCAACAAATAAGAACTGTATGGGTTTTAAAATGTATATTTCCGTGGACCACTCTACTATAAGTGGTGCGCGTTTTGCGAGGTGCATGCAATTCTCGGAGGACATGCGTTTCTCAGCACAACACCGCTAACAACAACAATAGCAAAATGAGTAACGAACAGGAGAAAACCACCGAAAATGAAGATTTGTTGCCAAAAAGAAAAGGAAAGTCAGTTATCTGGAATTATTTCGGTTAAAAGAAGGATGATGTCAACCAAAACACGTCTTCTGTGTTCATCTGTTGCCACAATAACGTCCCAGAACAATAAAAGCTAAAAATATCTCTGAGACAGACAGGAGCCATTCTACTAACATTCACAAAAAGAGGTAAGATCAGAGCAGGTTAACTGTCCTCAAGATTTCAGCAGTGCAGCATAACATTAAGTGCTATTCAGGTCATCTGGTGAAAATTCCTATATTTTTAATATCGTAATATATATCGCTGGGTTGAAAAAAATCGCAATGTTAGTTTTTTCCAATATCGTGCAGCCTTAGTTACAATCATTCCTTATGACAAATGACATCTATGAACCCTTTCAGTCCGGTTTCAAACCACGCCATAGCACTGACTCTGCACTTCTGAGAGTTTTTAATGATCTGATTTTAACTGTTGACTCAGGTAACCCTGCCCTCCTAGTGCTCCTTGATTTAACAGCTGCGTTCAACACTGTAGATCATAATATCCTTTTAGATTGGCTAGAGCAGTGGGTAGGCAGAACAGGCCCTGCTCTTCTGTGGTTCCGGTCCTATTTAAGTGAACGCAGTTTTTCTGTGCAGCTAGGGGAATTCGCTTCAACTGCAGCCCCACTCACCTCTGGAGTACCCCAAGGTTCAATTTTACGACCGATTTTATTTTTATTGTACATGTTGCCGCTGGGCTCAATCTTCTGGAAATACAAACTTTCTTTCCACTGCTATGCCGACGACGTACAGATCTACCTGCCCTTAAACCCCTCAAATAATGACTCTGTACAGACGCTGCTGGACTGTTTTTTAGAAGTTAACGGTTAGCAGAAAACTTCCTACATTTGAATGAAACCAAAACGGAGGCTATATTATTTGGCTGTAACCCATCTGACCTCCCAGCCAATTATCTGGGCCCTCTCACACTGAATGTCCGTGCATCGGTAAAGAATCTCGGCGTGACCTTTGACAGTAATTTTAAACTCGACAAGCAAGTCAACTCTGTGGTCAAAAATAGCTTTTATCAACTGAGAACTCTGTCTAAGGTAAAGGGTTACCTCTCTCGAAGAGACTTAGAGACAGTTATACATGCTTTTATCAATTCAAGATTAGATTACTGCAATTTCCTGTATGTTGGCTTGGATCAAAATCTGCTCCATCGACTTCAGCTGGTGCAAAATGCAGCTGCCCGCCTCCTTACTGGGAAATGTAAAAGAGAACATATAACCCCTGTGCTTGCTTCTCTCCACTGGCTCCCAGTCTCTTTTAGAATAAATTTTAAGATTTTATTGTTTGTTTTTAAAGCTCTTAATGGACTGGCCCCCGGGTATTTGTCCAAGCTCTTACACATTCATGCCTCCACTAGAGCACTGAGATCTGCCAATCAGCGGCTATCGGTCGTCCTGAAGACTCGCCTAAAGAGTAGAGGTGACCGAACCTTTGGGGCAGCTGCTCCAAGGCTCTGGAACAGCCTGCCTCACTACATCCGTTCAGCCGAGTCGATAGAGGTTTTTAAATCCTCTTTAAAAACACACTTTTTCTCCCTGGCTTTTACCTAGCTCTTGATTGGTATTTTTTATATTTTATATTTGTTTTTTATCTACCTACGTATTTTATATTTGTTTTTATTTATGGTGTATTTGTACCTCAATTTTACTTTGCTGTATTTTAATCTTGTATTCTGTGTTTTTGATCATATTGTTTACTGTCTGTTTTATGTATTTCACTGTGTCTTATTGACCTGTACAGCACTTTGGTCAGCTTCAGTTGTTTTTAAAGTGCTCTATAAATAAAGTTTGAGTTGAGAGTTGAGTTGAGTTTAGATTAAACTAAACTATCAAATTGTAAAAGGTAAGTAAATTCCAAGGTAAGTAAATTTTAAACTTTTAACTTACTTTCTTTTTAAGCAAATAAGTGAGATAAATTAGGGCCTTTTCAAATACTTCTCCAAAACAAATAAGTAAAAAACTTAAAGCAAATGTTGCTGCAATGCAATACTCTTTCCCCAAATACATTTTAACAGTAGCACTTAACAAGCAGCATCTCAAACACATTTCAAACACACAAGGTAAGTGAAGAGTCTACCGACCATTAGCGTCATGGAACTTGTATAGTTGAGTAGAACTTGATTCTTTGTGGAGCTGCTTCTGCTTGAAGTTGTTTGCTCCTTTGTTCTCTGCCACAACTCACACTGCTTTTCAGGTGTTCCTAATCAGCCGACACCCGAAGGTGGGCCATCTTTGGTGTACAGGGGCGACCATTTTGGGTGTTCCAAGGGGCAGCCATCTTGAATGTGCCATGGGCGGCCGTCTTGGGTGTACAAATTTGAAGTCTGAGGCTGTGGCTGTGTCCGAAATGGCATACTGCCTACTATCTACTTACCTACTCAAGCAGTACCTACTGCATACTGACTACTCAAAGATGATTTGAGTATGCCGCGGCTGCCAGAGCGTTTGCATACAGATTCATACTAAATACCCCAGAATGCATTTCGTGCCGGCCAGACGCAGCGCTGTACCACAAGCTACATAGAACGACTGCATTCCGGACAAATTATATAAATTCATTCAATAATAATATTTTTTCTAGCAAGAAAGTAAGTGTTTACATCATGATTATGAGCCCAGTTGTTTGAAATAGTGGCTGTTTGTAAATATGTCTCAGCGTTTTCGAAGACCGAAGCGTCTGCTTGGTGGGTGATTGTGTCTATTTACCATAAACACTGGGCAGCAGCAGCTCCCCCTTCACGTTTTCAAATTATTGCGAAGTGTTTTCATAATCACCATCTACACGACACAAACCGGGCGGCAGTGGATGAAAAAAAATCACACAAACATCTGTGTATCCATGGTGATAATGCTATACACCACAAGCTAGGTATGTGATGAGCAGCAGAGGGCTGCAAAATGACCAACACACAACATAATTATTATGACCTCGTTCGTTTATTCCTTGGCAAATACATCATTTCCCGACTACATTCTTTTCATGCACAATGATAATTTCAGAAACCATCAGATTTTCAACCACAAGTAAGAATTAGTAAAGCCCACATACATTGTCAACTGGAAACTCCCCCCGTTTGTATATATTCTGAACCATGTGCTCTCTACCAATAATAATTTTTATTAATCAGAAGTCTGAGCTTAATATGAGTGACCACTTTGATGATGCATTCAGAGATGAGAAGACTCTCAAACTTGATGTAATAAATACATCTTTAATAGACACTTAAATAAATAAAGTCAATTCATACGAATAGTTAAAAACATTACCTATAATCCTAATTTAAAATACAAATAAATCTGGTAAAAAGATCAAATATGATAAAATGATAAAAATTGTGTAATGTATACTGACTAAATATTGTTTATCTATTTATATATATATAATTATTATTGCAAACACATGCCATCTATTTCTTTTCAGCCTCGGGAAAGAGGGCCATATTACCAGCTGAGGTGCGCAATGCATTGTGGGGCAGAAGCAGTACGTGAAGCAAGCACCGTTCCACACTCAAAATTCGAAGCCGATTGAGTATACATCCGGGCATTTCTCGCATACACAGAATTCGCATACTGTACAGTGTGAATGCACTGCCTACTCAATTCAGAGGCGAGGTTAGTATGAGTAGTAGGAGTAGTTTGCCATTTCGGAGCATACTACGGTGCATTTGAAGCGTGCATGACGTCATGACGGCGCGAACAGTGTCCCATTTGGCACGAGATGCTAAGAAATGCTAAGTGCTTGGCACTTTTTCAAGCGTGCATTTATGCACGCTTTCATGCCGTCTGTATCCCAGAATGCTTTGCGTGCCGCTGCACAGCTGCGCATTTCAGGTGAGAGGCTGGACTCGCTTGGAGACACAGCGCGTCTTTAAAAAAATGCAAGAAATCCAAAAGACAGCAGACAGTCAGCTCAGGCTGTATGAGCGCATGATCTCTGAACTCACTAAAATCTGCAAACCAAACATTATAGATTTAGAGACAACTGATCCGCTCAGCTTCAACTATCAAAAACATTAGAAATAAGAAAGCTGACAAAACTACAGCAAAGGATCAGGACATCATTGAGTTTTTTTTTCTTTTAAGATTTAGAGATTAAAGTTGTAAATTCTGGAGAATAAACTCATAAAGTTTATAAAGTCATAAAACTGTTTTTGTGGAGGGGGAAACGACTGAAGCTGGTCATCTGCAGGGTTATCTGTGGATGTATCAGCGGGTCATTCAGAGAGATTTTGTGGTTTCTGAAGAAACAATCAAACTGATGTTGATCAACATTTGTGATCCAGAGGGAGTCGAGCTCCGACAAGCACCACGTCTCTGACACCGGCAGTAGCCTACACCTGCAGAGACACCAACACCTTATTATGGCACATGGATTCATATCAAAAACTAAAGCTCAATGTCATTCACGGATATACACGCCTGCATAGACAGATATATCCGCAGCATATCCATTTCTGCCTCCACAAAAGCAGCAATTTCCTTCAAGTACACCAGTTTTTTTTTCCCCGTGGAAAAGACGTGTTTCTCATATATTCTTTTTTTAAGTCTTTATGCTTATGACAATGTGATGCTGATGTGCCAGAGGATGAAGTATCTCCTTGTTTGTGAAAACTATACTGAAGCACAGTTCCTTCAAATGCTTCATGGCCCTAATTTTAACAAGTCTCCTCTGAAATAACAGGTTATGTCTTCATTCTCATAAATTAATGACTTTATTCTCGTAAATTCACGACTTAAATCTCGAAGTCTCTAAAAAAATTCTCAATATGGCCCTCATACTCCTTCATACAAAACAATCATTGGATTAATTTTGTGGGAATGAACTGTGCTTGTATGTATCTACCATTTTGTGTCTGTGCAAGGTCGAACAATTAAAACAATAAATGCTGCGCTCCGTAGCTTTTTTTCTAGTCAGTCGCGACATAAGCCTGAGGGCGGGGACATTTGGAGACCTTCGAAGACTTCCTGGTGGAGTCGCCAAATGTCCCCGCCCTGAGGCTCGCGTCACGACTGACTTAAAGAAAACCCGCGGAGCGCAGTATCCAAAAAGCACAAAATAGTAGATACATACAAGCACAATTCATCCAATGATTGTTTTGTATGAAGGAGTATGAGGGCAACATTGAGAATTTTCAAGACTTAAGTCGTGAATTTACGCGAATTAAGTCATTAATTTATGAGAATGAAGTCGTAACCTGTTATTTCAGAGGAGACTTGTTAAAATTAGGGCCATGAAGCATTTGAAGGAACTGTGCTTCAGTATAGGTTTCACAAACAAGGAGATACTTCATCCTCTGGCACATCAGCATCACATTGTCATAAGTATAAAGACACAAAAAAGAATATATGAGAAATATGTCTTTTCCACGGGGAAAAAACTGGTGTACTTAAAGGAAATTGCTGCTTTTGTGGAGGCAGAAATGAATATGCTGAGGATATATCCGTTTATGCAGCCGTAAATATCTGTGAATGACATTGAGCTTTAGTTTATGATATGAATCCATATGCCATAATAAGGTGTTGGTGTCTCTGCAGGTGTAGGTTACCGCCGGTGTCAGAGACGTGGTGCTCGTCGGAGCTCAACTCCCTCTGGATCACAAATGTTGATCATCATCAGTTTGATTTTTTCTTCAGAAAATCTCTCTGAATGACCCGCTGATACATCCACAGATAACCCTGCAGATGACCAGCTTCAGTCATTTCCCCCTCCACAAAAGCAGCTTTATGACTTTATATACTTTATTTACTTTATTCTCCTAAATTTACAACGTTAATATCTAAATCTTAAAAGAAAAAAAAACTCAATGATGTCCTGATCCTTTGCTGTAGTTTTGTCAGCTTTCTTATTTCTAATGTTTTTGATAGTTGAAGCTGAGCGGATCAGTTGTCTCTAAATCTATAATGTTTGGTTTGCAGATTTTAGTGAGTTCAGAGATCATGCGCTCATACAGCCTGAGCTGACTGTCTGCTGTCTTTTGGATTTCTTGCATTTTTTCAAAGACGCACTGTGTCTCCAAGCGAGTCCAGCCTCTCACCTGAAATGCGCAGCTGTGCAGTGGCACGCAAAGCATTCTGGGATACAGACGGCATGAAAGCGTGCATAAATGCACGCTTGAAAAAGGGGCAGGGGCAGTGTGGTTTTGAGACTGAATTTGAAGTGCGCTTAGCATTTTGTGCCAAACGGGACACCGTCCGTGCCACGTGATGACCTCACGCACGCTTCAAATGCGCCGTTCGACGGTTGCAGCCTCTGAAATGGGACATAGGAGGGGTACATAACGGTGCATAACGGCACATAACAGCACAAAACGGCAGTGTGCTTAGCTAAACGCGCTTATCCCGATGCGGTCTCTGAAATGAGACACAGCCTGTGGCTGTGGCTGTGTCCGAAATGGCATACTACTCTTACTACTCATACTAACCCCGCCCCCGAATTGAGTAGGCAGTGCGTTCACACTGTACAGTATGCGAATTTCGTGTATGCGAGAAATGCCCAGATGTATACTCAATCTGCTTCGATTTCTGAGTATGGAGCGGTGCTTACGTCACGTACTTCTTCTGCCCCACAATGCATTGCAGACTATTGCTGCGAGAAAACGAAATACAAAATGGAGACAGCCGGCAGCTGCTTCCAGCACCAGCAACAAAGCGCTCATAAATGTAAGTTATTTAACTTTATATTGTGGCACGTAATCGCGCAGTTAACAGTTGTATGGACATTTGAGTTTATGCACTGCTCAATGGCCAGTCAGCCTGCCAATTGGTTAGCACGTTAGCTTATGCCGTAGCCGCAACTAAACGGTAATGTTGACCCGTGATGTTGCATTATAAATACTGCTGTGTTTTCCTTCAGGGCCAGATGAGGACACAGAGCGGCTGATCCGGTGGCGGGGAAGGAACGAGGCCCTCTTCATGGGCAGAAGGAACGCTGCCCTAAAGGGTTTTCAGTAAGAAATTTTTGTTCATGCACCGTTGTGCCGTGGATTTATTTATTGTAAACACACGCTTCAGCTGGAGCCGACCGGAGCACAAACGTTGGCCATGTCGGCTTCTAGCTTTTTTGTTATCAGAGCAGCATTCTAAGAGCCGCAAACGCCCCCCACCACTCGAAAGAACATAATACGAGTTTTGCTATGGGTTGATTACAAGATGGGGAAAAAGCTACTGCCTAATGCAAAAATAATATGAATCTGGAGAACTTGAGGACACATTATGGAAACTCTGTACGTAAATCGTAAATGTGAACACTGTTCTGACAGTGGCTTGTAGGCACTTGCCACGTTCGTATGCCCTTTTTATTGCCCCTTGTTTGTCATCCTTGTTTAGGGCTTTCATCAAGGAGCATTGGCTGGAGGGCCAGGTGGATCCAAGTTTTCCCCACCAAAAAAAGGGAAAACCTGAAGCAGAAATACAAGGTAGGTGGAGGTGTGACAAACACTTCAGTAATTATGTTTCGCACCAATACAGTGAATGCTTATGTTTTTAAGTTTTACTATATAATCTGACTATGTCAGAGTTCAAACAGTCAGTGTGAGAGGGACCTCTGTTATCAGATTTTTTGTGTGTGTGTGTCATTTGCCAGGTTCTCAAGGCACCACCAACAGGGTCAGCACAGAGGGAGGAGAGGCCACTGCTGCAAACTGGAAATGGTTTAATATCATGGATGAGGTAATGAGGGACCGTCCCACCATATCACCGCCCAACCTTATCACCTCATCCATGACACCAGCAGCAGAGGCCTCTCCTCCAAATCCAACTTCTGAGTCTCCTCCTGTGAGAGGGAGGAGAACAAGTGACTCAAGGAGCAGAGAGTGGTCTGAGGAGTGATTGAAAAAGTTTGAGGAGAGGGAGGATGAAAGGTTGCAGCAGGCAGAGGAGCGGGAACGTCGGGCAGAGGAGAGGGAGAGGCAGGAAAAGAGAGAGATGGAAGAAAGATGGGTAAGAAGAGAGCAAGAGTGGAGAGAAGAAGAAAGAAGGAACACAGACAGAAGAGAGTGGGAGTGGAGAGAGTGGATGGATAGAAGAGCAGTGGAAGAAAGGAGAGAGAGAGAATAGAGCAAGAGAAGAAAGGGGGATGGAGATGATTGAATGACTGTTTAATTCTAAATAATGTGTTCATTTGATTTTGATATTTATTTTATAGACCAAGTTTTAAGTTCACAAATTGTTGTATTATCTTGATCACTTATTCTTTGTAATGTTTCAGTTTGTTGCTTCATGGTTTTGTTAAAGTTATAAAATTAAAAGATTGTTCTTGTTCCGTGACTAATCTAAACATATTTGCACGGTACATAAAGGAATAGAGGCAGGAATGGCATAGTATTTATTTCAAAGCAGTTGTGTAATGACCCACATACCTATGATTAGTGTAAACATGCTTCTTTTGTGCAAAAATAGCTCCACATCCATCTTTCACATGCAACAGACCACTTCCTTACTATAGTTAGTTAAGTATAAAACTAACCCTAAGTATAGCCATAAGTACCATAAGTATAATACTAAGTACAAGTATAATAGTATAATTAGTATAATATTAGTATAACTATAAACAGTATAATAACTATAATAAAATAAGTATAATACTAACTATATACTATAATACTAACTATTTACAACTACAAGAGGAGCCCCTGCGTGTAAGTGCTGTGCCCCCCTGCTAGCAGCTACCTATGGCTACAACTGCTCGCCTTCTTTCTGCACTTTTGTTTCCGTTTCACAGATACACACTTCAGTAATTCATGGCTCCACTCACCTCCCCGCTGGACTGTGTCCGCTGTTCCCGTCTCACTGCGAGGATCGCCGAACTAGAGGATCGAATATCCAATCTGTACATGATCCAAGAGGCCGAGCAGTTTTTGGACACCTTCATTCTTGGTTCAGTCCACACCGACCCCACCGCTGATTCTGTTCCTCCTCCGGTCACCGAGCCTGCTGCCCCCCGCTGTTGGCCCTGCGGTTGTCGTGGACTCTCTGCCGGCTGAGGAGCCCAATAACTCCTGGATCCGCCTCGGGGCTAGACCTAAGTTGATCCCGGCCAGCTCTACCCCGTCTTATCAAGCTCCTTGGATCCGGATCGGAGATGGTACACGGGGAGGGAGGCGTTCCTCCCGTGTACCACCGAGCCGTGTCATCAAGCTGCAGAATAAATATGACGTCCTTCGTGACTTTCCATCATTCCTGGCTGAGGAGCTCCCAGCCCACTGTCATAATAATTCACCCTGTCTCTCCTCCAGCCAAACCCCAGCGCCCGACCCGCCGCTCATTGCCACAGTTCACACCAGCACCAAAAAGAGCGCCTGTCTCCTGCTCAGTCCACCCGTCTCCATCCCTGCCGCCATCACAAAAACATATCTCCCAGTCTAAGCTCCTGTTGGAACTGAGTCAGTCTCTTGAGGACAAAAAGTCACAAAATCACTCCTCTACTCCATCTTATGCTCCCCCTCCAGCTTTAGCCTCCACTGCGCTTGTTTCCAAACACCTGGTTCAGCCGCCTGCCCCAACTCCTCTTTTTTCTCCAACGGTGCTTATCATCGGGGACTCGCTGGTAAGGAATGTCCGTTTTTTCAATGCAATCACCCACTGTATTCCTGGTGCCACAACTGTCCATATCCTCGACCAACTTCCCAGCATCATCACTTCCCTTCCACCATCCATCACTAAAATTATCGTTCATGTTGGCACATGTGACGTAACCCGGCGACAGTCTGAGTTCACCAAGGCTAATTTTATTGTCCTTTTTGATCTCCTCATTAGCAGTAGAAAGTCCATCTTTATCTCCGGCCCAACTCCCACTCTGGCACATGGGGATGAGCGTTTCAGCCGCCTCCGCTACCTTCACGCCTGGCTGGAATCCATATGCAGCACTCACAAAATAAACTTCATCCATAACTTCAACTCCTTCTGGTCCCACTCCTCTGTATTTGCTCGCGACGGCCTCCACTTAAACAGGTCCGGTAGCCGCTGGCTGGCGGCTAACATACAACAAGCTGTGGCGTTTAACCACCTGTCTCCCGGTGTGTGACTAGCTCCTTCCTCGTCATCGTCATTGCCATCACCTGCGGACCTCCCCATGCTCTGCTGTACACTGACAACAATCAAGCGCCATCAATTCCTCCCTCTAGCTCCCTCTATCGGTCTTTTCCTTAATTACCCACTTTAGGCTGCAAAGAAACTAAAAGCACTAGTCGCCCCAAACTGAGCAACCATAGAGGTGGCCTTTCACATAATTTGTTACGGCCTCTCAAACATGCAGCACCATCAGCTGACGTAGAGTCCACTTTAGATATTGCCTTATTGAATATTAGGTCACTGGCAAACAAAACATTTATATTGAATTACTTTTTCACCACACGGAACCTGGATTTTATGCTCTTGACAGAGACTTGGCTCAAGGATGGTGATGGCACTCCATTCTCTGAGCTTCTTCCCCCTGACTGTCTGTTCTTTAGCTCCCCTCGGAGCTCTGGTAGAGGTGGAGGTCTTGCCTCCATGTTTAAATCCAGTTTTAAGTGTCGTCAGCCTCCTTCAGATACATTCTCCAGCTTTGAACTGCAGTTGTTTGAGTTACACCTATCCTCCCCCGTTTTGTTTGTGGTCATTTATCGCCCTCCCAAATTCAACAAGGAGTTTATTAGTGACTTTGCAGAATTTCTGTCAGGAGTTACTGTAAAATATGACAATCTTTTAATTTGTGGTGATTTCAATATCCATGTTTGTTGTGAATCAAGACCTCTATCCAATGATTTTTTAAATCTCCTTGTAGCTTTTAACCTCGTTCAGTCTGTCAAAGGCCCGACTCACGAGAAAGGTCATACTCTAGATCTGGTGTTATCGCGTAGCATATCTGTGTGTAGCAACGAAATATGTGAGACAGCCTGTATCTCTGACCATCTGCCTGTGCTATTCACTGTATCCATCCCCTGCCCACATGTTAATACCTGTACTGCCCCGCGCCATCTGCGCACAATCAGCCGCCAGACTGCATCGCAGTTCTCAGCCTTATATCATTCTGAAACATCTGGGCTGATGTTTAACATGCTGAATGACAGTGTCACTCCCTGCGCTGATGAGCTTTTAACCCTTTTTAATGCTACCTGCACGACTATTTTGGACAATGTTGACCCTTTCAGACTAAAACGCACCAAGACACTTTCTGAACCGTGGCTAAATGACTCCACGCGCACTCTCAGACGTGCAAGCCGGTGCGCCGAGAGAAAGTGGAAGAAAGACAAGCTTCATGTCTCTAAACAAGCCCTCCATGATAGTCTGTGTGCCTATCAGAGTGCTGTTTGGACAGCTAAAATGGGATATTTCTCGAATCTTGTCTCCACAAATTGTTGCAAGCCCAAAGTTCTTTTTAATATTTTCAACTCCCTTGTCAATCCATGTGATAACACCCCTATTGACTCATCGCTGACTGTTTGTGAAAAATTTTTGAAACATTTTATTGATAAAATTTCTGCTCTCAGGCCACCTACCTACACTCCCGCTGCTCATGGTCCAGCCTCTGGTCCAGATCCCACGGCCCCTTTTTTAACCTCTGTCTTTGATCAGTTTGAGCCCATATCCCTCTCCTCACTGTCTGATGTAGTTTCACAACTGCAGCCCACAAACTGTCCCCTCTGACAGCATCCCCTCTCTAGGGGAATTCGCTTCAACTGCAGCCCCACTTACCTCTGGAGTACCCCAAGGTTCAATTTTAGGACTGATTTTATTTTTATTGTACATGTTGCCGCTGGGCTCAATCTTCTGGAAATACAAACTGTCTTTCCACTGCTATGCCGACGACGTACAGATCTACCTGCCCTTAAACCCCTCAAATAATGACTCTGTACAGACGCTGCTAGACTGTTTTTTAGAAGTTAAATCTTGGTTGGCGGAAAACTTCCTACATCTGAATGAAACCAAAACGGAGGCTATATTATTTGGCTGTAACCCATCTGACTTCCCAGCCAATTATCTAGGCCCTCTCATACAGAATGTCCTTGCATTGGTAAAGAACCTTGGCGTGACCTTTGACAGTAATTTTAAACTCGACAAGCAAGTCAACTCTGTGGTAAAAAATAGCTTTTATCAACTGAGAACTCTGTCTAAGGTAAAGGGTTACCTCTCTCGAAGAGACTTGGAGACAGTTATACATGCTTTTATCAATTCCAGATTAGATTACTGCAACTCCCTGTATGTTGGCTTGGATCAAAACCTGCTCCATCGACTTCAGCTGGTGCAAAATGCAGCTGCCCGCCTCCTTACTGGGAAACGTAAAAGAGAACATATAACCCCTGTGCTCGCTTCTCTCCACTGGCTCCCAGTCTCTTTTAGAATAAATTTTAAGATTTTATTGTTTGTTTTTAAAGCTCTTAATGGACTGGCCCCCGGGTATTTGTCTGAGCTCTTACACATTCATGCCCCCGCTAGAGCACTGAGATCTGCCAATCAGCGGCTATTAGTCGTCCCGAAGACTCGCCTAAAGAGTAAAGGTGACTGAGCCTTTGGGGCAGCTGCTCCTAGGCTCTGGAACAGCCTGCCTCAGCACATCCGTTCAGCTGAGTCGATAGAGGTTTTTTAATCCTCTTTAAAAACACACTTTTTCTCCCTAGCTTTTACCTAGCTCTTGATTGGTATTTTATATTTGTTTTTTATCTACTTACGTATTTTATATTTGTTTTTATTTATGGTGTATTTGTAACTCAATTTTACTTTGCTGTATTTAAATCTTGTATTCTGTGTTTTTTATCATATTGTTTACTGTCTGTTTTATGTATTTTGCTGTGCCTTATTGACCTGTACAGCACCTTGGTCAGCTTCAGTTGTTTTTAAAGTGCTCTATAAATAAAGTTTGAGTTGAGTTGAGTTGAGTACAATATAACTAACAATAACATTAACTATTCACAATGACTATTATTACAACGCTCATTAATAATCATGCTCCCTCAGAGCAGGGATCTGCTCCTCAGGAACTGATATTGCTGCTGCCATCCGATCCCTGAAGGCATCACCAGTCTGTTGGGCCAGGTCATGAGCTGCCAGACAGTTATCATCCCCATCAACCTCTTCACCGTCCTCTGGCTCCAAAATGTCCCTGTGCCCGAGGCAGAGGTTGTGGAGGAAAAGGCAGTCTACAATGACCTCCGAAACGAAGTCAACATCACCTCCAGGGCCTTGAGAAATATGGAACGCTACCTGGTTTTCAGTACTCCAAATGCCCTCTCCACCACACTCCTGGCCCGAGAATGCCTGGCATTGAACCTCTCTTGGGTGGGATTCCTCAAAGGCTCCCTGAATGGGCTGATAAGTGTGAGTGGTTCTGAAATGCAGGGATAATCCCCATCCCCTAATAGTCACCATCCTGGAGAAGGGTACAGCTGGTGCACGTACACAGGGCTGCACCCGAGGACCCGCGAATCGTGCACGGAGCCAGGGAAACCGACGTGCACATCCAGGAAGCGTCCTTTGTGGTCCACAATGGCCTGAAACTGGACAGAGTGGAACAGTTTTCTGTTAAAAAAGTCTGCTCCAAACTGTCCAGGGGGCACAATACGGACATGACATCTGATGCTTCCTGCCACTTTGCAGAAAGCTGGGTGACCAGCCAACTGCTGGAACCCAGCCCCAATTTCCTCCAACTCAGCCCTGTTGGGCAAATGCAAGAATCTCCGGAAAACTTGGTGGATGTCGCTGCTGACCCTGTGGACCATATCGTGGCACGTCGAATGAGGGATGTCGAAGGCCTCTGACACAACTCGATATGATGTGCCACAGGCAAGCCAGTAAACAAAATCAAGCACCTCGAGTGCCTTCCCCCATCCATGTTAATGGTCCCCTTGGAGAAGGTGGATGAGGTGCTCCAGGGAGGGCCTGGTCAGCCTGAAGTCCTTCCACAGGTCAGCCCCCTCAAAGTACAGGCGTACCAGAGGGACATGATGATTAATCTGGCAATATGGCCCTCTTTCCCGAGGCTGAAAAACATTGGTGGCATGTTATTGCAATAATAATATATTTTTTAATCTTTTTACCAGATTTATTTGTATTTTAAATTAGGATTGTAGGTAATGTTTTCAACTATTCGTATGAATTGACTTTATTTATTTAAGTGTCTATTAAAGATGTATTTATTACAACAACTTTGAGCATCTTCTCATCTCTGAATGCATCATCAAAGTGGTCACTCATATTAAGCACAGACCTCTGATTAATAAAAATTATTATTGGTAGAGAGCACATGGTTCAGAATATACAAACAGGGTAGTTTCCATTTGACAATGTATATGTGAGCTTTACTGATTCTTACTTGTGGTTGAAAATCCATCAGGAAGTACATAGCTGCCCTGAAGAAAAGACGCCTTCATCTCCTTGCATGGCGGCGATCCATGGTTTTCAGCCTACACCAGGCAGAACTACCCGTTGGTTTCTGAAATTATTATTATGTATTTGCCAAGGAATAACCGAACAAGGTCATAATTATGTTGTGTGTTGGTCATTTTGCAGCCCTATGCTGCTCATCACACGCCCAGCAGGTGGTGTATAGCATTATCACCATGGATACACAGGTGTTTGCGTAATTTTTATTAATCCACTGCCGCTCAGTTTGTGTCGTGTCGCTGTTGATTATGAAAACACCTCAATAATTTGTAAACGTGAAGGGGGAGCTGCTGCCCGGTGTTTACGGCATGTAGACGCAAACCAGGGCCGTATTACGGACCAGGCCAGTGGGACCAGCACCCAAGTGTCCGGAGGGGGGGGGGGGGGGGGCGCAAAGCAATGTAGATGCCGATGCCAATTGCGATGTCAGAGAGTCTCTATTCTCTAGGGTCTTATGACTGCTCACACTGCTATAGGGCATATCTGGCCCCCTTAAAGTGACTTAATTTACGTGTGCAACCGCACATACTTGCAGCAGAACGATCAGAGCACTATGCACGATACTCGTAGTCTTGCCAAGAACAAATCACCAAAAGTCGCTATTGGTTCTCTGAAAAGTCGCTAGATTACGTCATGACGTTACTTTGATGTCATAACATCAGACACGACTCACTGAGCTCAAGAAAATGTGTCTACATGTTGACAATCCCAAAGGCTACAGTTTCAAGATCGGGGCTAATGCGCAGTGCTGCTCCACCATGAAATAAGCTTCTGGTGGCGATGCAGAGCTGAAGTTGAATTGCATTGAAAAACAATGATTTTGACACTTGAGAGATGTGTTTTTTTAGAGTCGCAAGATTCACCTAAAAAGCCGCTAAGTCGCTAGATGAGGTTTTAGTTGCCAGAGACGGCCAAAAGTCGCTAAATTGGCAACATTGGGTACTGGTGGTATCATGTAGGGGGCAGATAGCCAACCGGGCTCTCATTAATATTTTCCACCACTGTTTGACTCTACAACGAGCTCAACATGGAAGTTTGGAAGATCGCCCCTCGCTATCAATACTGCACATATGTGCACATGTCTGCATACCTTGTGTTCAGGTGTGCTATTACGCGTAACATGGACATAAAATACGCATGGCAACGCATTCAGGCATGAAATGTGCACACGGCAAGCATATCCTGAGAATATCGATGGCCCCAGTAGACAGCTAGTAGAAGCTGGACCTATTTTCTATGAGAAGTGATTTTGCTCCTGCACAGTATTGTGTGTACACAACACGACATGGTCCTTGGAGTGCATCGAAACTGTCATTGCGACACGTCCAAAAGTTCAGAATTTATGGCGCGTCGCAACCATATCGTAAAGTGAGTGTGCAATAGCCGAGCTAGACTCAGGGGCAGGCTGTACAGTGGTCCAGTCACAATACACTGCAGATTCACGTGTCATTATAACCTATAGTTGCTTCGAGGAGAGTAGTAGACTGGTAGATATTCACCTTCAGAACACTGAGTTTCGCCCCGCTTCACTTTGCAGATTTCGCTTCCTTATGTTCCCACCGTAAAGGGGTGTACTGTAAACACCAATGCCAACCAAGTGAAGTCCAAGTGAAAATCCAATATCAATACAACACTCCCACATTACACTTGGCATTGCTTTTATCAAAACTCCTCACATGGCAGAAATTTTGATAGTTTAATTGAAAATCCAATATTGTTAAATCCATTTATCAAAACTCCTAACAACATTCTTACATTAAAACCTTTCCTAGACTATCAGATTTAGCATCCAACACCCTATTAAAAAGCTCATTGACATTTACATTGTATTGTATTGTAATAATAGTGTACCTTAACTAGACTTAAAGCCATTGTAAGGGCTATTGTAACAAATCTGGAAGTCTAAGTGGAACGAGAAAAAATGCATTTCCTTGCAGAAAATGCGTGGAAATGCTGAGTGCTGAAACCTGAAAAAGCAATGCTAAACTGCTAATAGAACACTGAGAAAGATATTAATGTAAAAGCTGTTGAAGGGGTGAAAAAGAAGTATAAGTTGAATAATTGTGAAAATGGTTGAAGGACAAACAGTATGAATATGCTCCATGAATTGAAATTTTGTTCATGCTGAAAGAGGCCAGTGAAAAAGAAATATAAGTTAAATAATTATGAAAATGGTTGAAGGACAAACAGTATGAATATGCTCCATGAATTGAAATTTTATTCATGCTGAAAGAGGCCAGAAAAATGACTGAAATTGCACAAAGTTTGAATGAAGAAGTAAATTACCTTAAAAGGCAGGAAGGTGAGAGGTGGCATAAGTTTTATTTGTTGTTCTAGTGGTAGCATGATAAGTAGTCATAGTAGTGATATTAGTAGTCCTGTAGTGATATTAGTAGTCATGTAAGCAGTAGAAATAGTTGGAGAATAGGAGAAGTCAAAGTAGTAGAGCTAGTGGTAGAAATAGCAGTAGAGAAAGTAGAAATAGTAGCAATAGTAGTTGAAATAGAAGTCAAAGTACTGGTTTAATTGATATTAGCAGGAGTTGTAGTAGAAGAAGTGGGATTTTGTTTAAGGGGTGAATAATGCATAAATACTAAAACTATTTTAAACAGGGAAAAGTTTGATAATTAAAAATCCTCAAGTATTAGAAATTTTTTAAGTATCAGAAAGGTTTGAATAAGTTTTTGTTCAAATAATTGAGAAATGCATTATTATGCATTATATATTATATATTATTACACAATTGAGAGAGGCATTGAACAATATTTCCAATGACTCACAGGAGAAACGTGAAACTAGAAGCGAGGCCTCTGCACTCTGTGGCAAGCTGGACACCCTAGAGATAGCTTTCATGGCACACTTTTGGGATCCAATAGTACAGCAGTTCCGAGCCACGAGCCTGCAGTTGCAGAAACATGACATTGACATACACACAGCTACGCAGCTTCTCCTTTCACTTTATGACTTTGTGGCAGCACAGAGAGACAATTTTGCCTTTTTTGAAGGGTCAGCTTTAACTGTTACCGACTCAGTCTCCCAAGACTACAGACATGACCTCCAGCGCACAAAGAAGCGCAAATGTATGGCTGATGAAAGTGCAGAACCAGGTGTTGAATTTAGTGGAAAAGAACAATTTCAGATTGAAACGTTCAGTGTTCTATTTGACAAACTTGTGTCCTGTCTTAACCATCGGTTAACTTGATACACACACTTGACCAATCCTTTTCATGTTCTTTTCATGCCTGATAATATGTCCAACAGTGAGCTCACTTTAAGGGCAGAATCTCTTGCTGCAGCATATCCCACTGATCTGACCATGAGCTTGGCAGATGAACTTGTTCAGTACAAATCATTCATTTCAGAAGAACAAAAATGCTTTCCAAAAAGTTTACATAGCACTCAGACTGTTTTTGACCCTGCCAATAACAAACTGTGAAGGGTAACGGTCATTCTCCAGACTGGCTCGAATAAAAAATGAGCTCAGGATGAGAATGTGCCAAAATGGGTTGAATTCACTCTCCCTTCTTGCAATAGAATCAGAGTTTGTTCGACAGCTCAACTTTGATGAGTTAGTGGACGACTTTGCAAGAAGGAAGGGGTGGGGGGGGTGGGGGGTGCTTTGCAAACTCCCGGCCCCGGGGCCCAGACCCCCCATAATCCGGCCCTGACGCAAACACCCATCAGGCGGATGCTTCGGTCTCCGAAAACGCAGAGACAAATTTGCAAACAGCCGCTATTTCAAACAACTGGGCTCAACTGGGCTCGTGATGTAAACACTTACTTTCTCGCTTGAAAAAATGTTTTGACTGACTGAATTTATACAGTTTGTCCGAAATGCAGTCGTTTTTGAAGCTTGCGGTAGGACTATTTAAATTTTCCCGGCGCTGCTTCTGGCTGGCACGAAATGCATTCTGGGGTATTAAGTATGCATGTGTGTAAACGCTCGGTCAGCTGCGGCATACTCAAATCATCTTTGAGTATGCAGTATGCAGTATGTACTGCTTGAGTAGTTAAGTAGACAGTAGGCAGTATGCCATTTCGGACACAGCCTGAGGTTTGCCTCTACAGATACTGTACCCCTAAAAAAAACTTTGCAACAACATACACAAAATTCAACATCAAGGCATGCTGCTGCAGTGTTCTAGCTGTGAGCTGCACAGAAGCAAGCTAACAGCATACAGTAGAGGTGCTCCTCAACAAATAAGAATAAACATATTCTCATTTATTGAGATACTTGAATACATTGTGCAACAGAAGCCTGCAGATGACTTAGAAATTAGAATATTCTTAGTCCACTGCAGATAAAATATGGAGAGTCCACGTCTCCATGCTATAGGTGAGTGAGTAAAAGGACCACAGGTACAGTCACAGGTTAACATGGACAGAGACTGCAGTGATTCTGTCTCTGTGCCATGTATTTTTAAAGGATCTCTATGACCATTTTGTCTGTTTCTCACTGTGTTCATGGCCCTTTATTTGCAAAATATCCCAAATCCATCGATCAGTGATGAAAACAATGAGGGGTATAAAGTCTGCTATAACGGATAGCCGCGATCTGCGGTTTGATTTCATTCACGTTGACTGGGATCAGTACGAGTGGTGACAGCGGACGCTTTTCCACATTAAAGGAGGAAATATTTGTAATATATCTCTGTTAACACCAAGCATTTCGTTTCTACTTCTTTAAAGCGTGGCTCATAATTGTGGAGACATCTACAGACACATTAAATAAAACCAACAAGCAAGGTGTATAGGCTGTCACGAGATAACACAGGTAACATGGAGAGTACACCTGACCTCGCGCTGTATTTAAATGCATCCCACAAACATTTTCACACCACCTGTGGTACTGTGAGTACTACCCACGCACCTAATGATCATAAAAATACCGTGAAATAAGTTCCTCTCACAATGAAAAAGTTTGTTAAATTTCTCACTCGGTGTCGGCGATATTTTGAACAGGCATTTGCACAATCACCAATTTCATTCTTCTCATGTTTCGTGCTTGCATCTTCATCTTTGACCCAATAAACTCATTCTCCCTAACATGTATGTCTCAAAAGGCCCTTTAATTTGATACATCGGTACGAGTGTGTAGTTAGACGGTGAGTGATAGATGGAATGTAAACAAAGGCCCTCAAAAGCCATGCTTCTTGAACATCTGCTTGGAGTGTCACCAGTTAACTTAACACCAGTTAAATCTACACACGGCATGTCAGACTTCACCTCTCCAATACCCAATTCTCAAGTTTAAATATTTCCACAACCTCAAGTTAGAAAACACCATAAACTCAAGTTCAAAAACACCACAAACTGAAGTTAAAACACGACACAAACTCAAGTTCACCAAAAACCACAAACTCAAGTTGAACCAATACCCAATTCTCAAGTTTAACAATTTCCACAACCTCAAGTTAAAAAAACACAAACTCAAGTTCAACAAACACACAAACTCAAGTTAAGAAACACCACAACCTCAAGTTCAAAGACTACACAAACTCAATATCAACAAACACACAAACTCAAGTTCAACCAATACCCAATTCTCAAGTTTAACAATTTCCACAACCTCAAGTTCAACAATTGCCACAAACTCGAGTTCAAAAACACCACAAAATCATGTTTAAACACGTCACAAACTCAAGTTCAACAAATGCCAAAAACTCAAGTTCAACAATTGCCACCAACTAAAGTTCACTAAAAACAACAGACTCAAGTTCAACAAACACCACAAACTCAAGTTCAAAAACACCACAAACTCGAGTTCAAAAACACCACAAAATCAAGTTCAAACATGTCACAAACTCAAGTTCAACAATTGCCACAACCTCAAGTTCAAAAACCGCCACAAACTCAAGTTCAAAAACACCACAACCTCAAGACCAAAAAACACCACAAACTGAAGTCCAAACACGACACAAACTCAAGTTAAACAAACACACAAACTCAAGTTCAACCAATACCCAATTCTCAAGTTTAACAATTTCCACAACCTCAAGTTCAAAAACACCACAAACTCGAGTTCAAAAACACCACAAAATCATGTTTAAACACGTCACAAACTCAAGTTCAACAAATGCCAAAAACTCAAGTTCAACAATTGCCACCAACTAAAGTTCACTAAAAACAACAGACTCAAGTTCAACAATTGCCACAACCTCAAATTCAGAAACAACAAACTCAAGTTAAAAAAACACACAAACTGAAGTTCAACAAACACGCAAACTCAAGTTCAAAAACACCACAACCTCAAGCTCAAAAACGACACAAACTCAAGTTCAACAAAAACCACAAACTCAAGTTCAACCAACACCTGATTCTCAAGTTTTTACAATTTCCACAACCTCAAGTTTAAAAACAACACAAACTCAAGTACAAAAAAAACCATAAACTAAAGTTCAAACAAAGCACAAAATCAAGTTCAACCAATACCCAAACTCAAGTTCAACCAACACCTGATTCTCAAGTTTTAACAATTTTCACAACCTCAAGTTCAAAAACCACCACAAACTCAAGTTCAAACACGCCACAATCTCAAGTTCAAACACGCCACAAACTCAAGTTCAAAAAACACACAAACTCAAGTTCAAAAATACCACAACCTCAAGTTCAAACACAACACAAGCTGGAGTTCAACAAACACCACAAACTCAAGTTCAACAAATGGCAAAGTTTTAAGTTCAACCAACACCCAAATCTCAAGTTTAACAATTGCAACAACCTCGAGTTCAAACATGCCACGAACTCAAGTCAAAAACACCACAACCTCAAGTTCAAAAAACACCACAAACTCAAGTTCAACCACCACCCAACCCTCAAGTTTAAAAATTTCCACAAACTGAAGTTCAAAAAACACCACAACATCAAGTTCAACAAACACAAAAACTCGAGTTCAAAACACCACAACCTCAAGATCAAACACGACACAAACTCAAGTTCAACAAAAACCACAAACTGAAGTTCAACAAATGTCAAACTTTTAAGTTCAACCAACACCCAAATCTCAATTTTAGAAATTGCCACAACCTCAAGTTCAAAAACACAAACTCAAGTTCAAACACGTCACAAACTCAAGTTCAACAAACGCCATAAACTCAAGTTCAACCACCACCCAACCCTCAAGTTTAAAAATTTCCACAAACTGAAGTTCAAAAAACACCACAACCTCAAGATCAAACACGACACAAACTCAAGTTCAACAAAAACCACAAACTGAAGTTCAACAAATGTCAAACTTTTAAGTTCAACCAACACCCAAATCTCAATTTTAGAAATTGCCACAACCTCAAGTTCAGAAACAACAAACTCAAGTTCAAAAAACACACAAACTCAAGTTAAACAAACAAGCAACCTCAAGTTCAAAAACACCACAACCTCAAGATCAAACACGAAACAAACTCAAGTTCAATCAACACCCAATTCTCAAGTTTAACAATTTCCACAACCTCAAGTTCAAAAACACCACAAACTCGAGTTCAAAAACATCATTAAATCATGTTTAAACACGTCACAAACTGAAGTTCAAGAAATGCCAAAAACTCAAGTTCAACAATTGCCACCAACTAAAGTTCACTAAAAACAACAGACTCAAGTTCAACAATTGCCACAACCTCAAATTCAGAAACAACAAACTCAAGTTAAAAAAACACACAAACTCAAGTTCAACAAACACGCAAACTCAAGTTCAAAAACACCACAACCTCAAGCTCAAAAACGACACAAACTCAAGTTCAACAAAAACCACAAACTCAAGTTCAACCAACACCTGATTTTCAAGTTTTTACAATTTCCACAACCTCAAGTTCAAAAACAACACAAACTCAAGTACAAAAAAAACCATGAACTAAAGTTCAAACAAAGCACAAAATCAAGTTCAACAAAAACCACAAACTCAAGTTCAACCAACACCTGATTCTCAAGTTTTAACAATTTTCACAACCTCAAGTTCAAAAACCACCACAAACTCAAGTTCAAACACGCCACAATCTCAAGTTCAAACACGCCATAAACTCAAGTTCAAAAACCGCCACAAACTCAATTCAAAAATACCACAACCTCAAGTTCAAACACAAAACAAGCTGGAGTTCAACATACACCACAAACTCAAGTTCAACAAATGGCAAAGTTTTAAGTTCAACCAACACCCAAATCTCAAGTTTAACAATTGCAACAACCTCAAGTTCAAAAACCGCCACAAACTCAAGTTCAAAAACACCACAACCTCAAGTTCAAAAAACACCACAAACTCAAGTTCAAACACGACACAAACTCAAGTTCAACATACACAAAAACTCGAGTTCAAAAACACCACAACCTCAAGTTCAAACACGACACAAACTCAAATTCCACAAACACCACAAACTCAAGTTCAAAAACACCACAAACTCAAGTTCAAAAACACCACAAAATCAAGTTCAAACACGTCACAAACTCAAGTTCAACAATTGCCACAACCTCAAGTTCAAAAAGCGCCACAAACTCAAGTTCAAAAAAACCACAACCTCAAGTTCAAAAAACACCACAAACTGAAGTTCAAACACGACACAAACAAAGTTTAACAAATGCCACAAACTCAAGTTCAACAATTGCCACCAACGAAAGTTCACTAAAAACAACAGACTCAAGTTCAACAAATGACAAACTTTTAAGTTCAACCAACACCCAAATCTCAATTTTAGAAATTGCCACAACCTAAAGTTCAAAAGCAACACAAACTCAAGTTCAAAAACACCACAACCTCAAGCTCAAAAAACACCACAAACCGAAGTTCAAACATGACACAAACTCAAGTTCAACAAACACACAAACTCAAGTTCAACCAATACCAAATTTTCAAGTTTAACAATTTCTAACAACCTCAAGTTCAAAAACACCACAAACTCAAGTTCAAACACGACACAAACTCAAGTTCAACAAACACACAAACTCAATTTCAACCAATACCCAATTCTCAAGTTTAACAAATTCCACAACCTCAAGTTCAAAAACACCACAAACTCAAGTTCAACAAAAACCACAAACCCAAGTTCAACAAATGTCAAACTCAAGTTCAACAATTGCCACAAACTCAAGTTCAGAAACAACAAACTCAAGTAAAAAAAAAACACAAACTCAAGTTTAACAAACACGCAAACTCAAATTCAAAAACCACCACAAACTCGAGCTCAAACACGACACAAACTCAAGTTAAAAAAAACAAATACTCAAGTTCAATCAACACCTGATTCTCATGTTTAACAAGTTCCACAACCTCAAGTTGAAAAATAACACAAACTCAAGTACAAAACACCACAAACTCAAGTTCAAAAACACCACAACCTCAAGTTCAAAAAACACCACAAACTGAAGTTCAACCAATGCCCAATTCTCAAGTTTCACAATTTCCAACACCTCAAGTTCAAAAACACCACAAACTCAAGTTCAAAAACACCTGATTTTCAAGTTTTTACAATTTTCACAACCTCAAGTTTAAAAACAACACAAACTCAAGTACAAAAAAAACCATAAACTAAAGTTCAAACAAAGCACAAAATCAAGTTCAACCAATACCCAAACTCAAGTTCAACCAACACCTGATTCTCAAGTTTTAACAATTTTCACAACCTCAAGTTCAAAAACCACCACAAACTCAAGTTCAAACACGCCACAATCTCAAGTTCAAACACGCCACAAACTCAAGTTCAAAAAACACACAAACTCAAGTTCAAAAATACCCCACCCCAAGTTCAAACACAACACAAGCTGGAGTTCAACAAACACCACAAACTCAAGTTCAACAAATGGCAAAGTTTTAAGTTCAACCAACACCCAAATCTCAAGTTTAACAATTGCAACAACCTCGAGTTCAAACATGCCACGAACTCAAGTCAAAAACACCACAACCTCAAGTTCAAAAAACACCACAAACTCAAGTTCAACCACCACCCAACCCTCAAGTTTAAAAATTTCCACAAACTGAAGTTCAAAAAACACCACAACATCAAGTTCAACAAACACAAAAACTCGAGTTCAAAACACCACAACCTCAAGATCAAACACGACACAAACTCAAGTTCAACAAAAACCACAAACTGAAGTTCAACAAATGTCAAACTTTTAAGTTCAACCAACACCCAAATCTCAATTTTAGAAATTGCCACAACCTCAAGTTCAAAAACACAAACTCAAGTTCAAACACGTCACAAACTCAAGTTCAACAAACGCCATAAACTCAAGTTCAACAACTGCAACCAACAAAAGTTCACTAAAAACCACAGACTCAATTTCATCAATTGCCAAAACCTCAAGTTCAGAAACAACAAACTCAAGTTCAAAAAACACACAAACTCAAGTTAAACAAACAAGAAACCTCAAGTTCAAAAACACCACAACCTCAAGATCAAACACGAAACAAACTCAAGTTCAATCAACACCCAATTCTCAAGTTTAACAATTTCCACAACCTCAAGTTCAAAAACACCACAAACTCGAGTTCAAAAACATCATTAAATCATGTTTAAACACGTCACAAACTGAAGTTCAAGAAATGCCAAAAACTCAAGTTCAACAATTGCCACCAACTAAAGTTCACTAAAAACAACAGACTCAAGTTCAACAATTGCCACAACCTCAAATTCAGAAACAACAAACTCAAGTTAAAAAAACACACAAACTCAAGTTCAACAAACACGCAAACTCAAGTTCAAAAACACCACAACCTCAAGCTCAAAAACGACACAAACTCAAGTTCAACAAAAACCACAAACTCAAGTTCAACCAACACCTGATTTTCAAGTTTTTACAATTTCCACAACCTCAAGTTCAAAAACAACACAAACTCAAGTACAAAAAAAACCATGAACTAAAGTTCAAACAAAGCACAAAATCAAGTTCAACAAAAACCACAAACTCAAGTTCAACCAACACCTGATTCTCAAGTTTTAACAATTTTCACAACCTCAAGTTCAAAAACCACCACAAACTCAAGTTCAAACACGCCACAATCTCAAGTTCAAACACGCCATAAACTCAAGTTCAAAAACCGCCACAAACTCAATTCAAAAATACCACAACCTCAAGTTCAAACACAAAACAAGCTGGAGTTCAACATACACCACAAACTCAAGTTCAACAAATGGCAAAGTTTTAAGTTCAACCAACACCCAAATCTCAAGTTTAACAATTGCAACAACCTCAAGTTCAAAAACCGCCACAAACTCAAGTTCAAAAACACCACAACCACAAGTTCAAAAAACACCACAAACTCAAGTTCAAACACGACACAAACTCAAGTTCAACAAACACAAAAACTCGAGTTCAAAAACACCACAACCTCAAGTTCAAACACGACACAAACTCAAATTCCACAAACACCACAAACTCAAGTTCAAAAACACCACAAACTCAAGTTCAAAAACACCACAAAATCAAGTTCAAACACGTCACAAACTCAAGTTCAACAATTGCCACAACCTCAAGTTCAAAAAGCGCCACAAACTCAAGTTCAAAAAAACCACAACCTCAAGTTCAAAAAACACCACAAACTGAAGTTCAAACACGACACAAACAAAGTTCAACAAATGCCATAAACTCAAGTTCAACAACTGCAACCAACAAAAGTTCACTAAAAACAACAGACTCAAGTTCAACAAATGACAAACTTTTAAGTTCAACCAACACCCAAATCTCAATTTTAGAAATTGCCACAACCTAAAGTTCAAAAGCAACACAAACTCAAGTTCAAAAACACCACAACCTCAAGCTCAAAAAACACCACAAACCGAAGTTCAAACATGACACAAACTCAAGTTCAACAAACACACAAACTCAAGTTCAACCAATACCAAATTTTCAAGTTTAACAATTTCTAACAACCTCAAGTTCAAAAACACCACAAACTCAAGTTCAAACACGACACAAACTCAAGTTCAACAAACACACAAACTCAATTTCAACCAATACCCAATTCTCAAGTTTAACAAATTCCACAACCTCAAGTTCAAAAACACCACAAACTCAAGTTCAACAAAAACCACAAACCCAAGTTCAACAAATGTCAAACTCAAGTTCAACAATTGCCACAAACTCAAGTTCAGAAACAACAAACTCAAGTAAAAAAAAAACACAAACTCAAGTTTAACAAACACGCAAACTCAAATTCAAAAACCACCACAAACTCGAGCTCAAACACGACACAAACTCAAGTTAAAAAAAACAAATACTCAAGTTCAATCAACACCTGATTCTCATGTTTAACAAGTTCCACAACCTCAAGTTGAAAAATAACACAAACTCAAGTACAAAACACCACAAACTCAAGTTCAAAAACACCACAACCTCAAGTTCAAAAAACACCACAAACTGAAGTTAAAACACAACACAATCTCTTGTTCAACAAACACACAAACTCAAGTTCAACCAATGCCCAATTCTCAAGTTTCACAATTTCCAACACCTCAAGTTCAAAAACACCACAAACTCAAGTTCAAAAACACCACAAACTCGAGTTCAACCACGATTCAAACTCAAGTTCAAAAACACCATTAACTCAAGTTCAAAGACACCAAAAACTATAGTTCGAAAAACACACAAACTCAAGTTTGAAAACACCACAAACTCAAGTTCAAACAAGACACAAACTTAAGTTCAACAAACACACAAACTCAAGTTTAACAAATGCCAAACTTTTAAGTTGAACCAACACCCAAATCTCAAGTTCAACAATTGCCACAACCTAGAGTTCAACAACCGCCACAAACTCAAGTTCAAAAACACCACAAACTCAAGTTCAAAAACACCACAAACAAAGTGCAAACACGAAACAAACTCAAGTTCAAAAACACCACAAACTCAAGTTCAACAATTGCCACCAATTAAAGTTCACCAAAAACCACAGACTCAAGTTCAACAATTGCCACAAACTCAACTTAAAAAAATTTAAGTTAAAAAAACACACAAATTCAAGTTCAACAAACAACACGAACTCAAGTTCAAACACGACACAAACTCAAGTTCAACCAACAACCAAATCTCAAGTTTAACAATTGCCACAACCTAGAGTTCAACAAACGCCACAACTCAAGTTCAACAAACACACAAACTCAAGTTCAAAAACACCACAAACTCAAGTTCAAACATGACACAAACTCAAGTTCAACAAACACACAAACTCAAATTCAACCAATACCCAATTCTCAAGTTTAACAAATTCCACACCCTCAAGTTCAAAAACACCAAAAACTCAAGTTCAAAAACACGACACAAACTCAAGTTCATACACGACACAAACTCAAGTTCAAACATAACACAAACTCAAGTTCAACAAACACACAAACTCAAGTTAAACAAACAAGAAACCTCAAGTTCAAAAACACCACAACCTCAAGATCAAACACGAAACAAACTCAAGTTCAATCAACACCCAAATCTCAAGTTTACGTTTTTCCACAACCTCAAGTTCAAACACACCACAAACTCAAGCTCAAAAACACCACAACCTCAAGCTCAAAAAACACCACAAACTCAAGTTCAAACACTACACAAACTCAAGTTCAAAAACAACACAAACTCAAGTTCAACCAATACCCAATTTTTGGGTTTAACAATTTCCATAACCTCAAGATCAACAAACACACAAACTCTAGTTCAAAAATACCACAAACTCAAGTTCAAACACGACACAAACTCAAGTTCAACAAACACACAAACTCAAGTTCAACCAACACCTGATTCTCAAGTTTAACAATTTCCATAACCTCAAGTTCAAAAACAACAGAAACCCAAGTTGAACCAACACCCGATTCTCAAGTTTAACAATTTCCAAAAACTCAAGTTCAAAAACACAACAAACTCAAGTTCAAAAACGACACAAACTAAAGTTAAACAAACAGCTCAAACTCAAGTTCAACAAATGTCAAAGTTTTAAGTTCAACCAACACCAAAATCTCAATTTAACAATTGCAACAACCTCAAGTTCAAACACGCCACAAACTCAAGTTCAAAAACACCACAACCTCAAGTTCAAAAACACCATAAACTCAAGTTCAAACACGACGCAAACAAAAGTTCAACAAACACCATAAACTCAAGTTCAACAAATGTCAAAATTTTAAGTTCAACCAACACCCAAATCTCAAGTTTCACAATTGCAACAACCTAAAGTTCAAAAACGCCACAAACTCAAGTTCAAACAAGACACAAACTTAAGTTCAACAAACACACAAACTCAAGTTCAACAAATGCCAAACTTTTAAGTTGAACCAACACCCAAATCTCAAGTTCAACAATTGCCACAACCTAGAGTTCAACAAACGCCACAAACTCAAGTTCAAAAACACCAAAAACTCAAGTTCAAAAACACCACAAACAAAGTGCAAACACGAAACAAACTCAAGTTCAAAAACACCACAAACTCAAGTTCAACAATTGCCACCAATTAAAGTTCACCAAAAACCACAGACTCAAGTTCAACAATTGCCACAAACTCAAGTTAAAAAAATTTAAGTTAAAAAAACACACAAATTCAAGTTCAACAAACAACACGAACTCAAGTTCAAACACGACACAAACTCAAGTTCAACCAACAACCAAATCTCAAGTTTAACAATTGCCACAACCTAGAGTTCAACAAACGCCACAACTCAAGTTCAACAAACACACAAACTCAAGTTCAAAAACACCACAAACTCAAGTTCAAACATGACACAAACTCAAGTTCAACAAACACACAAACTCAAATTCAACCAATACCCAATTCTCAAGTTTAACAAATTCCACACCCTCAAGTTCAAAAACACCAAAAACTCAAGTTCATACACGACACAAACTCAAGTTCAAACATAACACAAACTCAAGTTCAACAAACACACAAACTCAAGTTAAACAAACAAGAAACCTCAAGTTCAAAAACACCACAACCTCAAGATCAAACACGAAACAAACTCAAGTTCAATCAACACCCAAATCTAAAGTTTACGTTTTTCCACAACCTCAAGTTCAAACACACCACAAACTCAAGCTCAAAAACACCACAACCTCAAGCTCAAAAAACACCACAAACTCAAGTTCAAACACTACACAAACTCAAGTTCAAAAACAACACAAACTCAAGTTCAACCAATACCCAATTTTTGGGTTTAACAATTTCCATAACCTCAAGATCAACAAACACACAAACTCTAGTTCAAAAATACCACAAACTCAAGTTCAAACACGACACAAACTCAAGTTCAACAAACACACAAACTCAAGTTCAACCAACACCTGATTCTCAAGTTTAACAATTTCCATAACCTCAAGTTCAAAAACAACAGAAACCCAAGTTGAACCAACACCCGATTCTCAAGTTTAACAATTTCCAAAAACTCAAGTTCAAAAACACAACAAACTCAAGTTCAAAAACGACACAAACTAAAGTTAAACAAACAGCTCAAACTCAAGTTCAACAAATGTCAAAGTTTTAAGTTCAACCAACACCAAAATCTCAATTTAACAATTGCAACAACCTCAAGTTCAAACACGCCACAAACTCAAGTTCAAAAACACCACAACCTCAAGTTCAAAAACACCATAAACTCAAGTTCAAACACGACGCAAACAAAAGTTCAACAAACACCATAAACTCAAGTTCAACAAATGTCAAAATTTTAAGTTCAACCAACACCCAAATCTCAAGTTTCACAATTGCAACAACCTAAAGTTCAAAAACGCCACAAACTCAAGTTCAAACACGACACAAACTCAAGTTCAACGAACACCAAAAACTCAAGTTCAAAAACACCACAAACTCAAGTTCAAACACGACACAAACTTAAGTTCAACAAACACGACACAAACTCAAGTTCAACCAAATCCCAAATCTCAAGTTTAACAATTTCCACAAACTGAAGTTCAAAAAACCACAACCTCAAGTTAAAAAAAACACAAACTCAAGTTCAAACACACCAAAAACTTAAGTTCAACAATCACAAATACTCGAGTTCAAAAACACCACAACCTCAAGTTCAAACACGACACAAACTCAAGTTCAACAAAAACCACAAACTCAAGTTCAACAAATGACAAACTTTTAAGTTCAACCAACACCCAAATCTCAATTTTAGAAATTGCCACAACCTAAAGTTCAAAAGCAACACAAACTCAAGTTCAAAAACACCACAACCTCAAGCTCAAAAAACACCACAAACCGAAGTTCAAACACGACACAAACTCAAGTTCAACAAACACACAATTTCAGGTTCAACCAATACCAAATTTTCAAGTTTAACAATTTCTAACAACCTCAAGTTCAAAAACACCACAAACTCAAGTTCAAAAAAACCATAAACTCAAGTTCAAACACGACACAAACTCAATTTCAACCAATACCCAATTCTCAAGTTTAACAATTTCCATAACCTCAAGTTCAAAAACAACAGAAACCCAAGTTGAACCAACACCCGATTCTCAAGTTTAACAATTTCCAAAAACTCAAGTTCAAAAACACAACAAACTCAAGTTCAAAAACGACACAAACTAAAGTTAAACAAACAGCTCAAACTCAAGTTCAACAAATGTCAAAGTTTTAAGTTCAACCAACACCAAAATCTCAATTTAACAATTGCAACAACCTCAAGTTCAAACACGCCACAAACTCAAGTTCAAAAACACCACAACCTCAAGTTCAAAAACACCATAAACTCAAGTTCAAACACGACACAAACAAAAGTTCAACAAACACCATAAACTCAAGTTCAACAAATGTCAAAATTTTAAGTTCAACCAACACCCAAATCTCAAGTTTCACAATTGCAACAACCTAAAGTTCAAAAACGCCACAAACTCAAGTTCAAACACGACACAAACTCAAGTTCAACGAACACCAAAAACTCAAGTTCAAAAACACCACAAACTCAAGTTCAAACACGACACAAACTCAAGTTCAACAAACACCACAAACTCAAGTTCAACCAACACCCAATCCTCAAGTTTAACAATTTCCACAAACTGAAGTTCAAAAAACCACAACCTCAAGTTAAAAAAAACCACAAACTCAAGTTCAAACACACCAAAAACTTAAGTTCAACAATCACAAATACTCGAGCTCAAAAACACCACAACCTCAAGTTCAAACACGACACAAACTCAAGTTCAACAAAAACCACAAACTCAAGTTCAACAAATGACAAACTTTTAAGTTCAACCAACACCCAAATCTCAATTTTAGAAATTGCCACAACCTAAAGTTCAAAAGCAACACAAACTCAAGTTCAAAAACACCACAACCTCAAGCTCAAAAAACACCACAAACCGAAGTTCAAACACGACACAAACTCAAGTTCAACAAACACACAATTTCAGGTTCAACCAATACCAAATTTTCAAGTTTAACAATTTCTAACAACCTCAAGTTCAAAAACACCACAAACTCAAGTTCAAAAAAACCATAAACTCAAGTTCAAACACGACACAAACTCAATTTCAACCAATACCCAATTCTCAAGTTTAACAAATTCCACAACCTCAAGTTCAAAAACACCACAAACTCAAGTTCAACAAAAACCACAAACCCAAGTTCAACAAATGTAAAACTCAAGTTCAACAATTGCCACAAACTCAAGTTCAGAAACAACAAACTCAAGTAAAAAAAAAACACAAACTCAAGTTTAACAAACACGCAAACTCAAATTCAAAAACACCACAAACTCGAGCTGAAACACGACACAAACTCAAGTTAAAAAAAACAAATACTCAAGTTCAATCAACACCTGATTCTCAAGTTTAACAAGTTCCATAACCTCAAGTTGAAAAATAACACAAACTCAAGTACAAAACACCACAAACTCAAGTTCAAAAACACCACAACCTCAAGCTTAAAAAACACCACAAACTGAAGTTAAAACACAACACAATCTTTTGTTATAAAAACACACAAACTCAAGTTTGAAAACACCACAAACTCAAGTTCAAACAAGACACAAACTTAAGTTGAACCAACACCCAAAACTCAAGTTCAACAATTGCCACAACCTAGAGTTCAACAAACGCCACAAACTCAAGTTCAAACACGAAACAAATTCAAGTTCAAAAACACCACAAACTCAAGTTCAAAAACACAACACACCCTCAAGTTCAAAAACACCAAAAACTCAAGTTCAAAAACACCACAAACAAAGTGCAAACACGAAACAAACTCAAGTTCAAAAACACCACAAACTCAAGTTCAACAATTGCCACCAATTAAGATCACCAAAAAACACAGACTCAAGTTCAACAATTGCCACAAACTCAAGTAAAAAAAAATTAAGTTAAAAAAACACAAATTCGAGTTCAACCAACAACACTAACTCAAGTTCAAAAACGACACAAACTCAAGTTCAACCAACAACCAAATCTCAAGTTTAACAATTGCCACAACCTAGAGTTCAACAAACGCCACAACTCAAGTTCAACAAACACACAAACTCAAGTTCAAAAAGACCACAAACTCAAGTTCAAACATGACACAAACTCAAGTTCAACAAACACACAAACTCAAATTCAACCAATACCCAATTCTCAAGTTTAACAAATTCCACACCCTCAAGTTCAAAAACACCAAAAACTCAAGTTCAAAAACACGACACAAACTCAAGTTCATACACGACACAAACTCAAGTTCAAACATAACACAAACTCAAGTTCAACAAACACACAAACTCAAGTTAAACAAACAAGAAACCTCAAGTTCAAAAACACCACAACCTCAAGATCAAACACGAAACAAACTCAAGTTCAATCAACACCCAAATCTCAAGTTTACGTTTTTCCACAACCTCAAGTTCAAACACGCCACAAACTCAAGCTCAAAAACACCACAACCTCAAGCTCAAAAAACACCACAAACTCGAGTTCAAACACTACACAAACTCAAGTTCAAAAACAACACAAACTCAAGTTCAACCAATACCCAATTTTTGAGTTTAACAATTTCCATAACCTCAAGATAAACAAACACACAAACTCAAGTTCAAAAATACCACAAACTCAAGTTCAAACACAACACAAACTCAAGTTCAACAAACACACAAACTCAAGTTCCTGACTCAACACCTGATTCTCAAGTTTAACAATTTCCACAACCTCAAGTTCAAAAACAACAGAAACCCAAGTTGAACCAACACCCGATTCTCAAGTTTAACAATTTCCAAAAACTCAAGTTCAAAAACACCACAAACTCAAGTTCAAAAACGACACAAACTAAAGTTAAACAGACAGCTCAAACTCAAGTTCAACAAATGTCAAAGTTTTAAGTTCAACCAACACCAAAATCTCAATTTAACAATTGCAACAACCTCAAGTTCAAACACGCCACAAACTCAAGTTCTAAAACACCACAACCTCAAGTTCAAAAACACCATAAACTCAAGTTCAAACACGACACAAACAAAAGTTCAACAAACACCACAAACTCAAGTTCAACAACGTCAAAATTTTAAGTTCAACCAACACCCAAATCTCAAGTTTCACAATTGCAATAACCTAAAGTTCAAAAACGCCACAAACTCAAGTTCAAACACGACACAAACTCAAGTTCAACGAACACCAAAAACTCAAGTTCAAAAACACCACAAACTCAAGTTCAAACACGACACAAACTCAAGTTCAACAAACACCACAAACTCAAGTTCAACCTACACCCAATCCTCAAGATTAAAAATTTCCACAAACTGAAGTTCAAAAAACCACAACCTCAAGTTAAAAAAACCACAAACTCAAGTTCAAACACACAAAAAACTCAAGTTCAAAAACAACAAACTCAAGTTAAAAAAAACACATACTCAAGTTTAACAACCACGGAAACTCAAATTCAAAAACACCACAAACTCGAGCTCAAACACGACACAAACTCAAGTTAAAAAAAACAAATACTCAAGTTCAATCAACACCTGATTCTCAATTTTAACAAGTTCCACAACCTCAAGTTGAAAAATAACACAAACTCAAGTACAAAACACCACAAACTCAAGTTCAAAAACACCACAACCTCAAGCTTAAAAAACACCACAAACTGAAGTTAAAACACAACACAATCTCTTGTTCAACAAACAGACAAACTCAAGTTCAACCAATACCCAAATCTCAAGTTTCACAATTTCCAACACCTCAAGTTCAAAAACACCACAAACTCAAGTTCAAAAACACCACAAACTCAAGTTCAACCACGATTCAAACTCAAGTTCAAAAACACCACAAACTCAAGTTCAAAGACACCAAAAACTCAAGTTCAAACAAGACACAAACTTAAGTTCAACAAACACACAAACTCAAGTTCAACAAATGCCAAACTTTTAAGTTGAACCAACACCCAAATCTCAAGTTAAACAATTGCCACAACCTAGAGTTCAACAAACGCCACAAACTCAAGTTCAAACACGAAACAAACTCAAGTTCAAACACGCCACAAACTCAAGTTCAAAAACACAACACACCCTCAAGTTCAAAAACACCAAAAACTCAAGTTCAACAAATGCCAAACTTTTAAGTTGAACCAACACCCAAATCTCAAGTTCAACAATTGCCACAACCTAGAGTTCTACAAACACCACAAAGTTCAAACACGAAACAAACTCAAGTTCAAAAACACCACAAACTCAATTTCAACAATTGCCACCAATTAAAGTTCACCAAAAACCACAGACTCAAGTTCAACAATTGCCACAAACTCAAGTTCAAAAAAATTAAGTTAAAAAAACACACAAATTCGAGTTCAACAAACGACACGAACTCAAGTTCAAACACGACACAAACTCAAGTTCAACGAACACCAAAAACTCAAGTTCAAAAACACCACAAACTCAAGTTCAAACACGACACAAACTCAAGTTCAACAAACACCACAAACTCAAGTTCAACCAACACCCAATCCTCAAGTTTAACAATTTCCACAAACTGAAGTTCAAAAAACCACAACCTCAAGTTAAAAAAAACACAGACTCAAGTTCAAACACACCAAAAACTTAAGTTCAACAATCACAAATACTCGAGCTCAAAAACACCACAACCTCAAGATCAAACACGACACAAACTCAAGTTCAACAAAAACCACAAACTCAAGTTCAACAAATGACAAACTTTTAAGTTCAACCAACACCCAAATCTCAATTTTAGAAATTGCCACAACCTAAAGTTCAAAAGCAACACAAACTCAAGTTCAAAAACACCACAAACTCAAGCTCAAAAAACACCACAAACCGAAGTTCAAACACGACACAAACTCAATTTCAACAAACACACAAACTCAAGTTCAACCAATACCAAATTTTCAAGTTTAACAATTTCTAACAACCTCATGTTCAAAAATACCACTAACTCAAGTTCAAAAAAACCATAAACTCAATTTCAACCAATGCCCAATTCTCAAGTTTAACAAATTCCACAACCTCAAGTTCAAAAACACCACAAACTCAAGTTCAACAAAAACCACAAACCCAAGTTCAACAAATGTCAAACTCAAGATCAACAATTGCCACAAACTCAAGTTCAGAAACAACAAACTCAAGTTAAAAAAACACAAACTCAAGTTTAACAAACATGCAAACTCAAATTCAAAACCACCACAAACTCGAGCTCAAACACGACACAAACTCAAGTTAAAAAAAACAAATACTCAAGTTCAATCAACATCTGATTCTCAAGTTTAACAGGTTCCACAACCTCAAGTTGAAAAAAAACAGAAACTCAAGTTCAAAACACCACAAACTTAAGTTCAAAAACACCACAACCTCAAGCTTAAAAAACACCACAAAATGAAGTTATAACACAACACAATCTCTTGTTCAACAAACACACAAACTCAAGTTCAACCAATACCCAAATCTAAAGTTTCACAATTTCCAACACCTCAAGTTCAAAAACACCACAAACTCAAGTTCAAACACGACACAAACTCAAGTTCAACAAACACCACAAACTCAAGTTCAACCAACACCCAATCCTCAAGTTTAACAATTTCCACAAACTGAAGTTCAAAAAACCACAACCTCAAGTTAAGAAAAACACAAACTCAAGTTCAAACACACCAAAAACTTAAGTTCAACAATCACAAATACTCGAGCTCAAAAAAACCATAACCTCAAGTTCAAACACGACACAAACTCAAGTTCAACAAAAACCACAAACCCAAGTTCAACAAATCACAAACTTTAAAGTTCAACCAACACCCAAATCTCAATTTTAGAAATTGCCACAACCTAAAGTTCAAACACAACACAATCTCAAGTTCAACAAACACCACAAACTAAATTTCCAACATGATACAAACTCAAGTTCAACAAACACACTAACTGAAGTTCATCCAACACCTGATTCTCAAGTTTCAAAATTTCAACAAACTCAAGTTCAAAAACACCACAAACTCAAGTTCAAACACAACACAAAATCAAGTTAAACAAACACACAAACTCAAGTTAAAACACGACACAAACTCAAGTTCAAAAACAAACTCAAGTTCAACAAACACACAAAATCAAGTTAAAAAACACCACAAACTCAAGTTCAAACATGACACAAACTCAAGTTCAACAAACACACAAACTCAAGTTAAACCAATACCCAATTCTCAAGTTTAACAAATTCAACACCCTCAAGTTCAAAGACACCAGAAAACTCAAGTTCAAAAACACCACAAACTCAAGTTCAGACACGACACAAACTCAAGTTCAACAAACGCCACAAACTCAAGTTCAAACACGACACAAATTCAAGTTCAAAAACAACAGAAACTCAAGTTCAACAAACGCCACAAACTCAAGTTCAAACACAACACAAACTCAAGTAAAACAAACACACAAACTCAAGTTAAAAAACACCACAAACTCAAGTTCAAACTCGACACAAACTCAAGTTCAACAAAAACACAAACTCAAGTTCAACCAATACCCAATTCTCAAGATTAACAAATTCCACACCCTCCAGTTCAAAAACACCACAAACTCAAGTTCAACAAACGCCACAAACTCAAGTTCAAACACGACACAAATTCAAGTTCAAAAACAACAGAAACTCAAGTTCAACAAACGCCACAAACTCAAGTTCAAAAACACCACCAAGTTCAACAAATGTCAAACTTTTAAGTTCAACCAACACCCAATTCTCAATTTTAGAAATTGCCACAACCTCAAGTTCAAAAATAACACAAACTCAAGTTCATCCACGTCACAAACTCAAGTTCAACAAACGCCATAAACTCATGTTCAACAATTGCAACCAACTAAAGTTCACTAAAAACCACAGACTCAAGTTCAACAATTGCCAAAACCTCAAGTTCAGAGACAACAAACTCAAGTTCAAAAAACACGCAAACTCAAATTCAAAAACACCACAAACTCGAGCTCAAACACGACACAAACTCAAGTTAAAAAAAAAATACTCAAGTTCAATCAACACCTGATTCTCAAGTTTAACAAGTTCCACAACCTCAAGTTGAAAAATGACACAAACTCAAGTAGAAAACACCACAAACTCAAGTTCAAAAACACCACAAACTCAAGTTCAAACACGATTCAAACTCAAGTTCAAAAACACCACAAACTCAAGTTCAAAGACACCAAAAACTAAAGTTCAAAAAACACACAAACCCAAGTTCAAAAAAGACACAAACTTAAGTTCAACAAAGACACAAACTCATGTTCAACAAATGCCAAACTTTTAAGTTGAACCAACACCCAAATCTCAAGTTCAACAATTGCCACAACCTAGAGTTCAACAAACGCCAAAAACTCAAGTTCAAACACGAAACAAACTCAAGTTCAAAAACACCACAAACTCAAGTTCAAAAACACAACACACCCTCAAGTTCAAAAACACCAAAAACTCAAGTTCAAAAACACCACAAACAAAGTTCAAACACGAAACAAACTCAAGTTCAAAATCACCAAAAACTCAAGTTCAACAATTGCCACCAATTAAAGTTCACCAAAAACCACAGACTCAAGTTCAACAATTGCCACAAACTCAAGTTCAAAAAAATTAAGTTAAAAAAACACACAAATTCAAGTTCATCAAACAACACGAACTCAAGTTCAAACACGACACAAACTCAAGTTCAACCAACAACCAAATCTCAAGTTTAACAATTGCCACAACCTAGAGTTCAACAAACGCCACAACTCACGTTCAACAAACACACAAACTCAAGTTCAAAAAGACCACAAACTCAAGTTCAAACATGACACAAACTCAAGTTCAACAAACACACAAACTCAAATTCAACCAATACCCAATTCTCAAGTTTAACAAATTCCACACCCTCAAGTTCAAAAACACCAAAAACTCAAGTTCAAAAACACGACACAAACTCAAGTTCATACACGACACAAACTCAAGTTCAAACATAACACAAACTCAAGTTCAACAAACACACAAACTCAAGTTCAACAAACGCCAAAAACTCAAGTTCAAACACAGACAAACTCAAGTTCAAAAACACCACAAACTCAGGTTCAAACACTACACAAACCCAATTTAAAAACACAAAAAACGCAAGTTCAACCAATACCCAATTCTTAAGTTTAACAATTTCCTCAACCTCAAGTTCAAAACCACCAAAAACTCAAGTTCAAAAACAACACAAACTCGAGTTCAACAAACACACAAACTCCAGTTCATAAACACCACAAACTCAAGTTCAAATACACCACAAACTCAAGTTCAAAAAACAAACAAACTCAAGTTCAACCAACACCAGATTCTAAGGTTTAACAATTTCCACAACCTCAAGTTAAAAAAAACAGAAACTCAAGTTCAAAAAACACGAAAACTCATGTTCACCAAACATGCAAATTCAAGTTAAATAAACCCATAAACTCAAGTTCAAACACGACACAAACTCAAGATCAAAAACACAAAAAAATCAGTTCAACCAATACCCAATTCTCAAGTTTAACAAATTCCACAACCTCAAGTTCAAAAACACCACAAACTCAAGTTCAAAAACACCATAAACTCAAGTTCAAACACGACACAAACTCAAGTTCAAAAACACAAAAAACTCAAGTTCAACCAATACCCAATTCTCAAGTTTAACAACTTCCACAAGCTCAAGTTCAAAAACACCAAAAATTCAAGTTCAAAAACACACAAACTCAAGATCAAAAACACCAAAAACTTAAGTTCCAACACAACACAAACTCAAGTTCAACAAACACGAACTCATGTTCATCCAACACCTGATTTTCAAGTTAAACAATTTCCACAAACTCAAGTTCAGGAAAACCCCACAAACTCAAGTTTAACCAATACCAAATTGTCAAGTTAAACAAATTCCACACCCTCAAGTTTAAACACGACACAAACTCAAGTCCAAAAACACCACAACCTCAAGTTCAAACACACAAACTAAAGTTAAAAAACACCACAAGCTAAAGTTCAAACATGACACAAACTCAAGTTCAACAAACACACAAACTCAAGTTCAACCAACACCTAATTCAAAGGTTTAACAATTTCCAATACCTCAAGTTCAAAAACAACAGAAACTCAAGTTAAAAAAACCCACAAACTCAAGTTCAAACACGACACAAACTCTAGTTAAAAACACAAAAAAATCAAGTTCAACCAATACCCAATTCTCAAGTTTAACAATTTCCACAACCTCAAGTTCAAAAACACCAAAAACTCAAGTTCAAACACGACACAAACTCAAGTTCAACAAACACCACAAACTAAATTTACAACATGATATAAACTCAAGTTCAACATACACACTAACTGAAGTTCATCCAACACCTGATTCTCAAGTTTCAAAATTTCAACAAACTCAAGTTCAAAAACACCACAAACTCAAGTTCAGACACAACACAAAATCAAGTTAAACAAACACACAAACTCAAGTTAAAACACGACACAAAATCAAGTTAAAAAACACCACAAACTCAAGCTCAAAAAACACCACAAACCGAAGTTCAAACACGACACAAACTCAATTTCAACAAACACACAAACTCAAGTTCAACCAATACCAAATTTTCAAGTTTAACAATTTCTAACAACCTCAAGTTCAAAAACACCACAAACTCAAGTTAAAAAAAAACACAAACTCAAGTTCAACCAATACCCAATTCTCAAGATTAACAAATTCCACAACCTCAAGTTCAAAAACACCACAAACTCAAGTTCAACAAAAACCACAAACCCAAGTTCAACAAATGTCAAACTCAAGATCAACAATTGCCACAAACTCAAGTTCAGAAACAACAAACTCAAGTTAAAAAAACACAAACTCAAGTTTAAAAAACATGCAAACTCAAATTCAAAACCACCACAAACTCGAGCTCAAACACGACACAAACTCAAGTTAAAAAAAACAAATACTCAAGTTCAATCAACATCTGATTCTCAAGTTTAACAGGTTCCACAACCTCAAGTTGAAAAAAAACAGAAACTCAAGTTCAAAACACCACAAACTTAAGTTCAAAAACACCACAACCTCAAGCTTAAAAAACACCACAAACTGAAGTTATAACACAACACAATCTCTTGTTCAACAAACACACAAACTCAAGTTCAACCAATACCCAAATCTAAAGTTTCACAATTTCCAACACCTCAAGTTCAAAAACACCACAAACTCAAGTTCAAACACGACACAAACTCAAGTTCAACAAACACCACAAACTCAAGTTCAACCAACACCCAATCCTCAAGTTTAACAATTTCCACAAACTGAAGTTCAAAAAACCACAACCTCAAGTTAAGAAAAACACAAACTCAAGTTCAAACACACCAAAAACTTAAGTTCAACAATCACAAATACTCGAGCTCAAAAAAACCATAACCTCAAGTTCAAACACGACACAAACTCAAGTTCAACAAAAACCACAAACCCAAGTTCAACAAATCACAAACTTTAAAGTTCAACCAACACCCAAATCTCAATTTTAGAAATTGCCACAACCTAAAGTTCAAACACAACACAATCTCAAGTTCAACAAACACCACAAACTAAATTTCCAACATGATACAAACTCAAGTTCAACAAACACACTAACTGAAGTTCATCCAACACCTGATTCTCAAGTTTCAAAATTTCAACAAACTCAAGTTCAAAAACACCACAAACTCAAGTTCAAACACAACACAAAATCAAGTTAAACAAACACACAAACTCAAGTTAAAACACGACACAAACTCAAGTTCAAAAACAAACTCAAGTTCAACAAACACACAAAATCAAGTTAAAAAACACCACAAACTCAAGTTCAAACATGACACAAACTCAAGTTCAACAAACACACAAACTCAAGTTAAACCAATACCCAATTCTCAAGTTTAACAAATTCAACACCCTCAAGTTCAAAGACACCAGAAAACTCAAGTTCAAAAACACCACAAACTCAAGTTCAGACACGACACAAACTCAAGTTCAACAAACGCCACAAACTCAAGTTCAAACACGACACAAATTCAAGTTCAAAAACAACAGAAACTCAAGTTCAACAAACGCCACAAACTCAAGTTCAAACACAACACAAACTCAAGTAAAACAAACACACAAACTCAAGTTAAAAAACACCACAAACTCAAGTTCAAACTCGACACAAACTCAAGTTCAACAAAAACACAAACTCAAGTTCAACCAATACCCAATTCTCAAGATTAACAAATTCCACACCCTCCAGTTCAAAAACACCACAAACTCAAGTTCAACAAACGCCACAAACTCAAGTTCAAACACGACACAAATTCAAGTTCAAAAACAACAGAAACTCAAGTTCAACAAACGCCACAAACTCAAGTTCAAAAACACCACCAAGTTCAACAAATGTCAAACTTTTAAGTTCAACCAACACCCAATTCTCAATTTTAGAAATTGCCACAACCTCAAGTTCAAAAATAACACAAACTCAAGTTCATCCACGTCACAAACTCAAGTTCAACAAACGCCATAAACTCATGTTCAACAATTGCAACCAACTAAAGTTCACTAAAAACCACAGACTCAAGTTCAACAATTGCCAAAACCTCAAGTTCAGAGACAACAAACTCAAGTTCAAAAAACACGCAAACTCAAATTCAAAAACACCACAAACTCGAGCTCAAACACGACACAAACTCAAGTTAAAAAAAAATACTCAAGTTCAATCAACACCTGATTCTCAAGTTTAACAAGTTCCACAACCTCAAGTTGAAAAATGACACAAACTCAAGTAGAAAACACCACAAACTCAAGTTCAAAAACACCACAAACTCAAGTTCAAACACGATTCAAACTCAAGTTCAAAAACACCACAAACTCAAGTTCAAAGACACCAAAAACTAAAGTTCAAAAAACACACAAACCCAAGTTCAAAAAAGACACAAACTTAAGTTCAACAAAGACACAAACTCATGTTCAACAAATGCCAAACTTTTAAGTTGAACCAACACCCAAATCTCAAGTTCAACAATTGCCACAACCTAGAGTTCAACAAACGCCAAAAACTCAAGTTCAAACACGAAACAAACTCAAGTTCAAAAACACCACAAACTCAAGTTCAAAAACACAACACACCCTCAAGTTCAAAAACACCAAAAACTCAAGTTCAAAAACACCACAAACAAAGTTCAAACACGAAACAAACTCAAGTTCAAAATCACCAAAAACTCAAGTTCAACAATTGCCACCAATTAAAGTTCACCAAAAACCACAGACTCAAGTTCAACAATTGCCACAAACTCAAGTTCAAAAAAATTAAGTTAAAAAAACACACAAATTCAAGTTCATCAAACAACACGAACTCAAGTTCAAACACGACACAAACTCAAGTTCAACCAACAACCAAATCTCAAGTTTAACAATTGCCACAACCTAGAGTTCAACAAACGCCACAACTCAAGTTCAACAAACACACAAACTCAAGTTCAAAAAGACCACAAACTCAAGTTCAAACAAGACACAAACTCAAATTCAACCAATACCCAATTCTCAAGTTTAACAAATTCCACACCCTCAAGTTCAAAAACACCAAAAACTCAAGTTCAAAAACACGACACAAACTCAAGTTCATACACGACACAAACTCAAGTTCAAACATAACACAAACTCAAGTTCAACAAACACACAAACTCAAGTTCAACAAACGCCAAAAACTCAAGTTCAAACACAGACAAACTCAAGTTCAAAAACACCAAAAACTCAAGTTCAAACACTACACAAACCCAATTTAAAAACACAAAAAACGCAAGTTCAACCAATACCCAATTCTTAAGTTTAACAATTTCCTCAACCTCAAGTTCAAGACCACCAAAAACTCAAGTTCAAAAACAACACAAACTCAAGTTCAACAAACACACAAACTCAAGTTCATAAACACCACAAACTCAAGTTCAAATACACCACAAACTCAAGTTCAAAAAACAAACAAACTCAAGTTCAACCAACACCAGATTCTAAGGTTTAACAATTTCCACAACCTCAAGTTAAAAAAAACAGAAACTCAAGTTCAAAAAACACGAAAACTCATGTTCACCAAACATGCAAATTCAAGTTAAATAAACCCATAAACTCAAGTTCAAACACGACACAAACTCAAGATCAAAAACACAAAAAAATCAGTTCAACCAATACCCAATTCTCAAGTTTAACAAATTCCACAACCTCAAGTTCAAAAACACCACAAACTCAAGTTCAAAAACACCATAAACTCAAGTTCAAACACGACACAAACTCAAGTTCAAAAACACAAAAAACTCAAGTTCAACCAATACCCAATTCTCAAGTTTAACAACTTCCACAAGCTCGAGTTCAAAAACACCAAAAATTCAAGTTCAAAAACACACAAACTCAAGATCAAAAACACCAAAAACTTAAGTTCCAACACAACACAAACTCAAGTTCAACAAACACGAACTCATGTTCATCCAACACCTGATTTTCAAGTTAAACAATTTCCACAAACTCAAGTTCAGGAAAACCCCACAAACTCAAGTTTAACCAATACCAAATTGTCAAGTTAAACAAATTCCACACCCTCAAGTTTAAACACGACACAAACTCAAGTCCAAAAACACCACAACCTCAAGTTCAAACACACAAACTAAAGTTAAAAAACACCACAAGCTAAAGTTCAAACATGACACAAACTCAAGTTCAACAAACACACAAACTCAAGTTCAACCAACACCTAATTCAAAGGTTTAACAATTTCCAATACCTCAAGTTCAAAAACAACAGAAACTCAAGTTAAAAAAAACCACAAACTCAAGTTCAAACACGACACAAACTCTAGTTAAAAACACAAAAAAATCAAGTTCAACCAATACCCAATTCTCAAGTTTAACAATTTCCACAACCTCAAGTTCAAAAACACCAAAAACTCAAGTTCAAACACGACACAAACTCAAGTTCAACAAACACCACAAACTAAATTTACAACATGATATAAACTCAAGTTCAACATACACACTAACTGAAGTTCATCCAACACCTGATTCTCAAGTTTCAAAATTTCAACAAACTCAAGTTCAAAAACACCACAAACTCAAGTTCAGACACAACACAAAATCAAGTTAAACAAACACACAAACTCAAGTTAAAACACGACACAAAATCAAGTTAAAAAACACCACAAACTCAAGTTCAAATACACCACAAACTCAAGTTCAAAAAACAAATAAAACTCAAGTTCAACCAACACCCGATTCTAAGGTTTAACAAATTCCACACCCTCAAGTGAAAAAAAAACACAAACTCAAGTTAAAAACCCCATTAACTCAAGTTCAAACACAACACAAACTCAATTTCAACAAACGCCACAAACTAAAGTTCAAACAAGAAACAAACTCAAGTAAAAAAAACCACAAACTCAAGTTCAAACACAACACAAACTCAAGTTCAACAAACACCACAAACTACATTTTCAACATGATACAAACTCAAGTTCAACATACACACTAACTGAAGTTCATCCAACACCTGATTCTAAAGTTTCAAAATTTCAACAAACTCAAGTTCAAAAACACCACAAACTCAAGTTCAGACACAACACAAAATCAAGTTAAACAAACACACAAGCTCAAGTTAAAACACGACACAAAATCAAGTTAAAAAACACCACAAACTCAAGTTCAAATACACCACAAACTCAAGTTCAAAAAACAAACAAACTCAAGTTCAACCAACACCCGATTCTAAGGTTTAACAAATTCCACACCCTCAAGTTCAAAAACACCAGAAAACTCAAGTTCAAAAACACCACAAACTCAAGTTTAGACACGACACAAACTCAAGTTCAACAAACGCCACAAACTCATGTTCAAACACGACACAAACTCAAGTTCAACCAACAACCAAATCTCAAGTTTAACAATTGCCACAACCTAGAGTTCAACAAACGCCACAACTCAAGTTCAACAAACACACAAACTCAAGTTCAAAAAGACCACAAACTCAAGTTCAAACATGACACAAACTCAAGTTCAACAAACACACAAACTCAAATTCAACCAATACCCAATTCTCAAGTTTAACAAATTCCACACCCTCAAGTACAAACACGACACAAACTCAAGTCCAAAAACACCACAACCTCAAGTTCAAACACACAAACTAAAGTTCAACCAATACCCAATTCTCAAGTTTAACAATTTCCACAACCTCATGTTCAAAAACATCACAAACTCAAGTTCAACAAACATCACAAACTCAAGTTCAACCAATACCCAATTCTAAAGTTTAACAAATTCCACACCCTCAAGTTAAAAAAACACAAACTCAAGTTCAAAAACATCACAAACTCAAGTTCAAACATGAAACAAACTCAATTTCAACAAACGCCACAAACTCAAGTTCAAAAAAGAAACAAACTCAAGTTAAAAAAACCACAAACTCAAGTTCAAACACTACACAAACTCAAGTTCAACAAACACCACAAACTAAATTTCCAACATGATACAAACTCAAGTTCAACATACACACTAACTGAAGTTCATCCAACACCTGATTCTCAAGTTTCAAAATTTCAACAAACTCAAGTTCAAAAACACCACAAACTCAAGTTCAGACACAACACAAAATCAAGTTCAGACACAACACAAAATCAAGTTTAAACAAACACACAAACTCAAGTTAAAACACGACACAAAATCAAGTTAAAAAATACCACAAACTCAAGTTCAAATACACCACAAACTCAAGTTCAAAAAACAAACAAACTCAAGTTCAACCAACACCCGATTCTAAGGTTTAACAAATTCCAGACCCTCAAGTTCAGAAACACCACAAACTCAAGTTCAGACACTACACAAACTCAAGTTCAACAAACGCCACAAACTCATGTCCAAACACAACACAAACTCAAGTTAAACAAACACACAAACTCAAGTTAAAAAACACCACAAACTCAAGTTCAAAAACAAACTCAAGTTCAACAAACACACAAAATCAAGTTAAAAAACACCAAAAACTCAAGTTCAAACTCGACACAAACTCAAGTTCAACAAAAACACAAACTCAAGTTCAACCAATACCCAATTCTCAAGATTAACAAATTCCACACCCTCAAGTTCAAAAACACCACATACTCAAGTTCAACAAACGCCACAAACTCAAGTTCAAATACGACAATTTCAAGTTAAAAAACAACAGAAAGTCAAGTTCAACAAACGCCACAAACTCAAGTTCAAAAACACCACAAACTCAAGTTTAGACACGACACAAACTCAAGTTCAACAAACGCCACAAACTCATGTTCAAACACGACACAAACTCAAGTTCAACCAACAACCAAATCTCAAGTTTAACAATTGCCACAACCTAGAGTTCAACAAACGCCACAACTCAAGTTCAACAAACACACAAACTCAAGTTCAAAAAGACCACAAACTCAAGTTCAAACATGACACAAACTCAAGTTCAACAAACACACAAACTCAAATTCAACCAATACCCAATTCTCAAGTTTAACAAATTCCAAACCCTCAAGTTTGAACACGACACAAACTCAAGTCCAAAAAAACCACAACCTCAAGTTCAAACACACAAACTCAAGTTCAACCAATACCCAATTCTCAAGTTTAAAAATTTCCACAACCTCAAGTTCAAAAACATCACAAACTCAAGTTCAACAAACATCACAAACTCAAGTTCAACCAATACCCAATTCTAAAGTTTAACAAATTCCACACCCTCAAGTTAAAAAAACACAAACTCAAGTTCAAAAACATCACAAACTCAAGTTCAAACATGAAACAAACTCAATTTCAACAAACGCCACAAACTCAAGTTCAAAAAAGAAACAAACTCAAGTTAAAAAAACCACAAACTCAAGTTCAAACACTACACAAACTCAAGTTCAACAAACACCACAAACTAAATTTCCAACATGATACAAACTCAAGTTCAACATACACACTAACTGAAGTTCATCCAACACCTGATTCTCAAGTTTCAAAATTTCAACAAACTCAAGTTCAAAAACACCACAAACTCAAGTTCAGACACAACACAAAATCAAGTTAAACAAACACACAAACTCAAGTTAAAACACGACACAAAATCAAGTTAAAAAATACCACAAACTCAAGTTCAAATACACCACAAACTCAAGTTCAAAAAACAAACAAACTCAAGTTCAACCAACACCCGATTCTAAGGTTTAACAAATTCCAGACCCTCAAGTTCAGAAACACCACAAACTCAAGTTCAGACACTACACAAACTCAAGTTCAACAAACGCCACAAACTCATGTTCAAACACAACACAAACTCAAGTTAAACAAACACACAAACTCAAGTTAAAAAACACCACAAACTCAAGTTCAAAAACAAACTCAAGTTCAACAAACACACAAAATCAAGTTAAAAAACACCAAAAACTCAAGTTCAAACTCGACACAAACTCAAGTTCAACAAAAACACAAACTCAAGTTCAACCAATACCCAATTCTCAAGATTAACAAATTCCACACCCTCAAGTTCAAAAACACCACATACTCAAGTTCAACAAACGCCACAAACTCAAGTTCAAACACGACAATTTCAAGTTAAAAAACAACAGAAAGTCAAGTTCAACAAACGCCACAAACTCAAGTTCAAAAACACCACAAACTCAAGTTCAAAAACCCCACAAAGTCAAGTTCAAACATAACACAAAATCAAGTTAAACAAGCACACAAACACAAGTTAAAACACGACACAAACTCAAGTTCAAAAACACCACAAACTCAACTTCAAACACAAAATCAAGTTCAAAAACACCACAAACTCAAGTTCAAAAACACCACAAACTCAAGTTCAGACACGACACAAACTCAAGTTCAACAAACGCCACAAACTCAAGTTCAAACACGACACAAATTCAAGTTCAAAAACAACAGAAACTCAAGTTCTACAAACGCCACAAACTCAAGTTCAAACACGAAACAAACTCAAGTTCAAAAACACCACAAACTCAAGTTCAACCAAAACCCAATTCTCAAGTTTAACAAATTCCACACCCTCAAGTTAAAAAAAAAACCACTACTTCAAGTTCAAAAAACAACAGATACTCAAGTTCAAAAAACACACAAACTCAAGGTCACCAAACACGCACCTCAAGTTCAAAAACACCACAAACTCAAGTTCAAACACGACACAAATTCAAGTTCAAAAACAACAGAAACTCAAGTTCAACAAACGCCACAAACTCAAGTTCAAACACAACACAAACTCAATTTCAACAAAAGCCACAAACTCAAGTTCAAACAAGAAACAAACTCAAGTTCAACAAACACACAAACTCAAATTAAAAAAAACCACAAACTCAAGTTCAAACACAACACAAACTCAAGTTCATCAAACACACAAACTCAAGTTCAAAAACACCACAAACTCAAGTTCAAACATAACACAAAATCAAGTTAAACAAACACACAAACTCAAGTTAAAACACGACACAAACTCAAGTTCAAAAACACCACAAACTCAAGTTCAAACACAAACTCAAGTTCAAACACACAAAATCAAGTAAAAAAACACCACAAACTCAAGTTCAAACTCGACACAAACTCAAGTTCAACAAACACACAAACTCAGTTCAACCAATACCCAATTCTCAAGTTTAACAAATTCCACACCCTCATGTTCAAAAACACCACAAACTCATGTTCAAAAACACCACAAACTCAAGTTCAGACACGACACAAACTCAAGTTCAACAAACGCCACAAACTCAAGTTCAAACACGAAACAAACTCAAGTTAAAAAACACCACAAACTCAAGTTCAACCAAAACCCAATTCTCAAGTTTAAAAAATTCCACACCCTCAAGTTAAAAAAAAAACACAACTTCAAGTTCAAAAAACAACAGATACTAAAGTTCAAAAAACACACAAACTTAAGGTCAACAAATACGCACCTCAAGTTTAAAAACACGACAAACTCCGGTCCAAACACTACACAAACCCAATTAAAAAAACATAAAAAAGCAAGTTCAACAAATACCCAATTCTCAAGTTTAACAAATTCCACAACCTCAAGATCAAAATCACCACAAACTCAAGTTCGAACACAACACAAACTCAAGTTCAACAAACACACAAACTCAAGTTCAAAAACATCACAAACTCAAGTTAAAACACGAACCAAACTCAAGTTCAACAAAATCACAAACTCAAGTTCAACCAATACCCAATTCTCAAGTTTAACAATTTCAACAACCTCAAGTTCGAACACAACACAAACTCAAGTTCAACAAACACACAAACTCAAGTTAGAAAACACCACAAACTCAAGTTCAAACACAACACAAACTCAAGTTCAACCAACACACAAACTCAAGTTCAAAAACATCACAAACTCAAGTTAAAACACGAACCAAACTCAAGTTCAACAAAATCACAAACTCAAGTTCAACCAATACCCAATTCTCAAGTTTAACAATTTCAACAACCTCAAGTTCGAAAACACCAAAAACTCAAGTTCAACAAACACACAAACTCAAGTTCAACCAGCACCTGATTCTCAAGTTTAACAATTTCCACAACTTCAAGTTCAAAAACAACAGAAACTCAAGTTAACCAAACAGGCAAATTCAAGTTCAAAAACACCACAAACTCAAGTTAAAACACAACACAAACTCAAGTTCAACAAACGCCACAAACTCAAGTTCAAACAAGAAACAAACTCAAGTTCAACAAACACACAAACTCAAGTTAAAAAGAAACACAAACTCAAGTTCATACACAATACAAACTCAAGTTCATCAAACACACAAACTCAAGTTCAAAAACACCACAAACTCAAGTTCAAACATAACACAAAATCAAGTTAAACAAACACACAAACTCAAGTTCAAAAACACCACAAACTCAAGTTCAAACATAACACAAAATCAAGTTAAACAAACACACAAACTCAAGTTAAAACACGACACAAACTCAAGTTCAAAAACACCACAAACTCAAGTTCAAACACAAACTCAAGTTCAACAAACACACAAAATCAAGTAAAAACACACCACAAACTCAAGTTCAAACTCGACACAAACTCAAGTTCAACAAACACACAAACTCAAGTTCAACCAATACCCAATTCTCAAGTTCAACAAATTCCACAAACTCAAGTTCAAAAACACCACAAACTCAAGTTCAAAAACACCACAAACTCAAGTTCAAACACGACACAAACTCAAGTTCAACAAACGCCACAATCTCAAGTTCAAACACGACACAAATTCAAGTTCAAAAACAACAGAAACTCAAGTTCAACAAACGCCACAAACTCAAGTTCAAACACGAAACAAACTCAAGTTCAAAAACACCACAAACTCAAGTTCAAAAACACCACAAACTCAAGTTCAAACATAACACAAAATCAAGTTAAACAAACACACAAACTCAAGTTAAAACACGACACAAACTCAAGTTCAAAAACACCACAAACTCAAGTTCAAACACAAACTCAAGTTCAACAAACACACAAAATCAAGTAAAAAAACACCACAAACTCAAGTTCAAACTCGACACAAACTCAAGTTCAACAAACACACAAACTCAAGTTCAACCAATACCCAATTCTCAAGTTTAACAAATTCCACACCCTCAAGTTCAAAAACACCACAAACTCATGTTCAAAAACACCACAAACTCAAGTTCAGACACGACACAAACTCAAGTTCAACAAACGCCACAAACTCAAGTTCAAACACGACACAAATTCAAGTTCAAAAACACCACAAACTCATGTTCAAAAACACCACAAACTCAAGTTCAGACACGACACAAACTCAAGTTCAACAAACGCCACAAACTCAAGTTCAAACACGACACAAATTCAAGTTCAAAAACAACAGAAACTCAAGTTCAACAAACGCCACAAACTCAAGTTCAAACACGAAACAAACTCAAGTTAAAAAACACCACAAACTCAAGTTCAACCAAAACCCAATTCTCAAGTTTAAGAAATTCCACACCCTCAAGTTAAAAAAAACCACAACTTCAAGTTCAAAAAACAACAGATACTAAAGTTCAAAAAACACACAAACTTAAGGTCACCAAACACGCACCTCAAGTTCAAAAACACGACAAACTAAGGTCCAAACACTACACAAACCCAATTAAAAAAACATAAAAAAGCAAGTTCAACAAATACCCAATTCTCAAGTTTAACAAATTCCACACCCTCAAGTTAAAAAAAACCACTACTTCAAGTTCAAAAAACAACAGATACTCAAGTTAAAAAAACACACAAACTCAAGTTCAACAAACACACAAAATCAAGTAAAAAAACACCACAAACTCAAGTTCAAACTCGACACAAACTCAAGTTCAACAAACACACAAACTCAAGTTCAACCAATACCCAATTCTCAAGTTTAACAAATTCCACACCCTCAAGTTCAAAAACACCACAAACTCATGTTCAAAAACACCACAAACTCAAGTTCAGACACGAAGCAAACTCAAGTTCAAAAACACCACAAACTCAAGTTCAACTAAAACCCAATTCTCAAGTTTAACAAATTCCACACCCTCAAGTTAAAAAAAACCCACAACTTCAAGTTCAAATAACAACAGATACTAAAGTTCAAAAAACACACAAACTTAAGGTCACCAAACAAGCACCTCAAGTTCAAAAACACCACAAACTCAGGTTCAAACACCACACAAACCCAATTAAAAAAACATAAAAACGCAAGTTCAACAAATACCCAATTCTCAAGTTTAACAATTTCCACAACCTCAAGATCAAAACACCACAAACTCAAGTTCGAACACAACACAAACTCAAGTTCAACAAACACACAAACTCAAGTTCAAAAACATCACAAACTCAAGTTAAAACACGAACCAAACTCAAGTTCAACAAAATCACAAACTCAAGTTCAACCAATACCCAATTCTCAAGTTTAACAATTTCAACAACCTCAAGTTCGAACACAACAGAAACTCAAGTTCAACAAACACACAAACTCAAGTTAGAAAACACCACAAACTCAAGTTCAAACACAACACAAACTCAAGTTCAACCAACACACAAACTCAAGTTCAAAAACATCACAAACTCAAGTTAAAACACGAACCAAACTCAAGTTCAACAAAATCACAAACTCAAGTTCAACCAATACCCAATTCTCAAGTTTAACAATTTCAAAAACCTCAAGTTCAAAAACACCAAAAACTCAAGTTCAACATACACACAAACTCAAGTTCAACCAACACCTGATTCTCAAGTTTAACAATTTCCACAACCTCAAGTTCAAAAACAACAGAAAATCAAGTTAACCAAACAGCCAAATTCAAGTTCAAAAACACCACAAACTCAAGTTCAAACACAACACAAACTCAAGTTCAACAAACGCCCCAAACTCAAGTTCAAACAAGAAACAAACTCAAGTTCAACAAACACACAAACTCAAGTTAAAAAAAACACAAACTCAAGTTCATACACAATACAAACTCAAGTTCATCAAACACACAAACTCAAGTTCAAAAACACCACAAACTCAAGTTCAAACATAACACAAAATCAAGTTAAACAAACACACAAACTCAAGTTAAAACACGACACAAACTCAAGTTCAAAAACTCCACAAACTCAAGTTCAAACACAAACTCAAGTTCAACAAACACACAAAATCAAGTAAAAAAACACCACAAACTCAAGTTCAAACTCGACACAAACTCAAGTTCAACAAACACACAAACTCAAGTTCAACCAATACCCAATTCTCAAGTTTAACAAATTCCACACCCTCAAGTTCAAAAACACCACAAACTCATGTTCAAAAACACCACAAACTCAAGTTCAGACACGACACAAACTCAAGTTCAACAAACGCCACAAACTCAAGTTCAAACACGAAACAAACTCAAGTTCAAAAACACCACAAACTCAAGTTCAACCAAAACCCAATTCTCAAGTTTAACAAATTCCACACCCTCAAGTTCAAGTTCAAAACAACAGATACTAAAGTTCAAAAAACACACAAACTTAAGGTCACCAAACACGCACCTCAAGTTCAAAAACACCACAAACTCAGGTTCAAACACTACACAAACCCAATTAAAAAAACATAAAAACGCAAGTTCAACAAATACCCAATTCTCAAGTTTAACAATTTCCACAACCTCAAGATCAAAACACCACAAACTCAAGTTCGAACACAACACAAACTCAAGTTCAACAAACACACAAACTCAAGTTCAAAAACATCACAAACTCAAGTTAAAACAGGAACCAAACTCACGTTCAACAAAATCACAAACTCAAGTTCAACCAATACCCGATTCTCAAGTTTAACAATTTCAACAACCTCAAGTTCAAATACAACAGAAACTCAAGTTCAACAAACACACAAACTCAAGTTAGAAAACACCACAAACTCAAGTTCAAACACAACACAAACTCAAGTTCAACCAACACACAAACTCAAGTTCAAAAACATCACAAACTCAAGTTAAAACACGAACCAAACTCAAGTTCAACAAAATCCCAAACTCAAGTTCAACCAATACCCAATTCTCAAGTTTAACAATTTCAACAACCTCAAGTTCAAAAACACCAAAAACTCAAGTTCAACCAACACCTGATTCTCAAGTTTAACAATTTCCACAACCTCAAGTTCAAAAACAACAGAAACTCAGGTTAACCAAACAGGCAAATTCAAGTTCAAAAACACCACAAACTCAAGTTCAAACATGACACAAACTCAAATTCAACAAACGCCACAAACTCAAGTTCAAACACGAAACAAACTCAAGTTCAAAAACCACACAAACTCAAGTTCAAAAAACACACAAACTCAAGTTCAAACACGACACAAACTCAAGTTCAAACACGAAACAAACTCAAGTTCAAAAACCACACAAACTCAAGTTCAAAAAACACACAAACTCAAGTTCAAACACGACACAAACTCAAGTTAAAAAAAACCAACAAACTCAAGTTCAAACACGACACAAAATCAAGCTCAAAAAACGCCACAAACTAAAGTTCAAACACAACACAAACTCAAGTTCAACAAACACACAACCTCAAGTTCAAAAAACACACAAACTCAATTCAACAAACAACACGAGCTCAAGATCCAACACGACACAAACTCAAGTTCAACAAACACTAACTCAAGTTCATCAAACACCTGATTCTCAAGTTTAACAATTTCCAAAAACTCAAGTTCAAAAACACCACAAACCCAAGTTCAAAAACACCACAAACTCAAGTTCAAAAACACCACAAACTCAAGTTCAAAAACACCACAAACTCAAGTTCAAACACGTCACAAACTCAAGTTCAAAATCACCACAAACTCAAGTTCGAACACAACACAAACTCAAGTTCAACAAACACACAAACTCAAGTTCAAAAACACCACAAACTCAAGTTCAAACACAACACAAACTCAAGTTCAAAAACACCACAAACTCAAATTAAAAAAACTCCCCAAACTCAAGTTAAAACACGAACCAAACTCAAGTTCAACAAAATCACAAACTCAAGTTCAATCAATACCCAATTCTCAAGTTTAACAATTTCAACAACCTCAAGTTCAAAAACACCAAAAACTCAAGTTCAACAAACACACAAACTCAAGTTCAACCAACACCTGATTCTCAAGTTTAACAATTTCCACAACCTCAAGTTCAAAAACAACAGAAACTCAAGTTCAACCAACCACACAAACTCAAGTTCAAAAACACCACAAACTCAAGTTCAAACATGACACAAACTCAAATTCAACAAACGCCACAAACTCAAGTTCAAACACGAAACAAACTCAAGTTCAAAAACCACACAAACTCAAGTTCAAAAAACACACAAACTCAAGTTCAAACACGACACAAACTCAAGTTCAAAAAAACCAACAAACTCAAGTTCAAACACGACACAAAATCAAGCTCAAAAAACGCCACAAACTAAAGTTCAAACACAACACAAACTCAAGTTCAACAAACACACTAACTCAAGTTCAAAAACACCACAATCTCAAGCTCAAACATGAAACACACTCAAGTTCAACGAACACAAAAACTCAAGTTCAAAAACAACACAAACTCATGGCCAAACACGCTACAAACTCAAATTCAAAAACACCACAAACTCAAATTCAAAAACATCACAAAATCAAGTTAAAACACGAACCAAACTCAAGTTCAACAAAATCACAAACTCAAGTTCAACCAATACCCAATTCTCAAGTTTAACAATTTCAACAACCTCAAGTTCAAAAACACCAAAAACTCAAGTTCAACAAACACACTAACTCAAGTTCAAAACCACCACAATCTCAAGCTCAAACATGAAACACACTCAAGTTCAACGAACACAAAAACTCAAGTTCAAAAACAACACAAACTCATGGCCAAACTCGCTACAAACTCAAGTTCAAACACGACACAAACTCAAGTTCAAAACACAAAAAAATCAAGTTCAACCAATACCCAATTCTCAAGTTTAACAATTTCCACAACCTCAAGTTCAAAAACAACACATGCTCAAGTTCAAAAACACCAAAAATCAAGTTCAAAAACGAGACAAACTCATGTTCAACAAAAACCACAAACTCAAGTTCAACCATTACCTGATTCTCAAGTTTAAAAATTTTCACAACCTCAAGTTCAAAAACACACAAACTCAATTCAACAAACAACACGAGATTAAGTTCCAACACGACACAAACTCAAGTTCAACAAACACTAACTCAAGTTCATCAAACACCTGATTCTCAAGTTTAACAATTTCCAAAAACTCAAGTTCAAAAACACCAAAAACTCAAGTTCAACCAATACCAATTTCTCAATATAACATATTCCACACCCTCAAGTTCAAAAACACCACAAACCCAAGTTCAACCAACACCCAAATCTCAAGTTTAACAATTGCCACAAAACTAAGTTAAAAAACCACACAAACTCAAGTTCAAAAACACCACAAACTCAAGTTCAAACATGACACAAACTCAAGTTCAACCAACACCCAAATCTCAAGTTCAACAATTGCCACAACCTCAAGTTCAAAAACAACAGAAACTCAAGTTAAAACACGCCACAAACTCAAGTTCAACAAAGACACAAACTCAAGTTCAAAAACACCACAAACCCAAGTTCAACCAACACCCAAATCTCAAGTTTAACAATTGCCACAAAACTAAGTTAAAAAACCACACATACTCAAGTTAAAAAACACCACAAACTCAAGTTCAAACATGACACAAACTCAAGTTCAACCAACACCCAAATCTCAAGTTTAACAATTGCCACAACCTCAAGTTCAAAAACAACAGAAACTCAAGTTCTAACACGAGACAAACTGAAGTTTAACAAACACACAAACTCAAGTTCAATCAATACCCAATTCTCAAGTTTAACAATTTCCACAACCTCAAGTTCAACAAACTCAAGTTCAAAAATTGCAAAAAAATCAAGTTCAATTACGACACAAACTCAAGTTCAACCAACACCCAAATCTCAAGTTTAACATTTGCCAAAACCTCAAGTTCAAAAACAACACAAACTCAAGTTCAAACACGCCACAAACTCAAGTTCAACAAACACACAAACTCAAGTTCAAAAACACCACAAATTCAAGTTCAAACATGTCACAAACTCAAGTTCAACAAACACAGAAACTCAAGTCAACCAATATCCAAATATGAAGCTTAGCGTTAAGGGGTGTTCAGACCAAACGCGACTTCGGTGACGTCGGCGATGGCTCCCAATGCAAAGTCTATGGACAGCCGCGACCTGACGCGACTTGGCGACCGCTGGCTACCTGCGTCGCGTTGCCGAAGTTGCGTTTCCGAGGTCGCAGGACGCCAAGTCTCGTCGCTCCCAAAGTTCAAATATTTGAACTGGGCTGCGGGATGTATATATGAGGGAGAAAAGGAGGGAGATGGAAGGTAGGAGAAGCGGGTCAGCAGCGACCAGCCGTGTCCTGCGACCGCAGCTTTGGACCCGGTGTGAACACACCAGAGCACCACGCGACGCGACGCGACCTGGTCGCGGCTGCAATTACACCTAATCCGCGGAGCCAAATCCTTGCAGGTACTGACATTAGTCTTGCTGTGCTCAGACTACAATGATAGACGCATTGTGGATTGCGGAGATGAGCCTGTGATGCTTAAATATCGTGATGCCCGGCTGTTTAAATCTCCGACCTTGGCTGAATTCATAGCTTTCAGCGTATTTGTAGATGTCATATGTAAAGTGTTTTCAGCACGCAGAACTGAACTGGACACATATCTCGCCATTATTTCTGATTCAGCCATGACATAGGGAGGATCATTATTCTAGGAACATTACAAATCATTTTCAGCAAAGCTGCTAAGTACATTCAAAGATTCAGCCAAAGACTTGATCAGTCCGTAGTCGACCTGGCTCTAATCAGTTAACAATTCACCGAGCATCAAGCTTTTTCCTGCTTAATCTGCGGGTCTTTCTCTCACCTGGAGGTGAAAGTAAGCCATTACGCAGCAGTACGCCATTTCGGGAAGACATAATCAGCTGTTTAAAGTTTTCACCCCTGTCATGTATCTAGGCTTAGTCTGTTGCTGCACATCAGTCTGCACTCTGCGTTATAACCGAAGTAATCCAATAGGACCATGCCGCTTGAGAGTGAGTGGTATTTGCTTACAAATAAACTCCAAGTGGGAGCACCAGTGCGCACCATGCTTGGGCAACGGGTCTCTCTAACCCGTCTTTCTTTCAGCAGCGCTCACCTCCCCTGCTAGCTCCTAGACTGCACGGCATGGTTGTTTTGGGGGGGTTCTGTTCATTGCTGCTCTACCCCTGCCTCCTCCGCCTTCATGATGGCACGTGGAGGGCGGGAAGGTGCTCTTCCTGCCGCTGGCCTTTCACCCCTGCCAACGTGGAGAACGGGGGCCCTGAACTGAACCTCGCGTGCGCTCCCTGCTATCGCCTTTCATGATGGCTCGTGAAAGGCAGGAAGGGGCTCGAGGAGGGCGAGTTTAACAATTTCCACAACCTCAAGTTCAAAAAGAACACAAACTCAAGTTCAAACACGCCACGAACTCAAGTTCAACAAACAAACAAACTCAAACTCAAGTTCAAAAACACCACAAACTCAAGTTCAACCAACACCCAATTCTCAAGTTCAACAATTTCCACCAACTCAAGTTCAAAAACACCACCAACTCAAGTTCAAAAACACCACAAAGTCAAGTTCAAACAAGACACAAACTGAAGTTCAGTGAACACCACATACATAAGTTCAACAAATGTCAAAGTTTTAAGTTCAACCAACACCCAAATCTAAAGTTTAACAATTGCCAAAGCCTCAAGTAAGAAAAACAACAAAAATTCAGGTTAAAACACGCCACAAACTCAAGCTCAACACCGCCACAAACTCAAGTTAAAAAGCACCACAAACCAAAGTTCAAACACGACACAAACTCAAGTTCAACCAAATCCCAAATCTCAAGTTTGACAATTGCCACAACCTCAAGTTCAAAAACAACAGAAACTCAAGTCAAAACACGCCACAAACTCAAGTTAAACAAACACACAAACTCAAGTTCAAAAACACCACAAACTCAAGTTCAACCAACACCCAAATCTCAAGTTTAACAATTGCCACAAACTTAAATTAAAAAAAAATACAAAAATTCAAACTAAAGTTCAGAGAAAAATACAGACTCAAGTTCAACAATTGCCACAAACTCAAGTTCAACAAACACCACAATCTTAAGTTCAAAAAATGCCAAAATTTCAAATTCAACAAATGACCTAAACTCACATTTAACAATTGCCAAAAACTCAAGTTCAACAAACTCAAGTTCAAAAATTGCAACAACCTCAAGTTCAAAAAACACACAAATTCAAGTTCAAAAACACCACAAACTCAAGTTCAAAAAAACACAAAAATTCAAGTTCAAAAACACCACAAACTCAAGTTAAATGGACACCACAAAGTCAAGTTCAACAAATGTCAAAGTTTTAAGTTCAACCAACACCCAAAACTAAAGATTAACAATTGCCAAAACCTCAAGTTAAAAAACAACACAAACTCAAGTTCAAACACGCGACAAACTCAAGTTTAACAATTGCCACCAAATAAAGTTCACTAAAAACCAAAGACTCAAGTTAAAAACTCAAGTTCAAAAATTGCAACAAACTCAAGTTCAAACACAACACTCAAGTTCAAACATGACACAAACTCAAGTTCAAACACGACACAAACTCAAGTTCAAACACGACACAAACTCAAGTTCAAACACGACACAAACTCAAGTTCAAACAACACCCAAATATCAAGTTTAACATTTGCCAAAACCTCAAGTTCAAAAACACCACAAACTCAAGTTCTAAACGACAAAAACTCAAGTTCAACAAACACACGAACTCAAGTTCAACAATTGCCACCAACTAATGTTCAGAGAAAAATACAGACTCAATGTTAACAACTGCCACAAACTCAAGTTCAACAAACACCACAAACTTAAGTTCAAAAAATGCCAAAATTTCAAATTCAACAAATAACCTATATTAACATTAAAGAATTGCCAAAAACTCAAGTTCAACAAACTCAGGTTAAAAAAACACACAAATTCAAGTTCAAAAACACATCAAACTCAAGTTCAAAAACACCACAAACTCAATTTCAACCAACACCCAAATCTCAAGTTTAACAAATTGCCACAACCTCATGTTCAAAAACAACAGAAACTCAAATTCAAAAACACCAAAAACTCAAGTTAAAAAAAACCCACACAAATTCAAGATCACAAAACAGCAAAATCTCAAGTTCAAACACGACACAAACTCAGGTTCAACAAACACACAAACTCAAGTTTAACAATTGCCACCAAATAAAGTTCACTAAAAACCAGACTCAAGTTAAAAACTCAAGTTCAAAAATTGCAACAAACTCAAGTTCAAACACAACACTCAAGTTCAAACATGACACAAACTCAAGTTCAAACACGACACAAACTCAAGTTCAAACACGACACAAACTCAAGTTCAAACACGACACAAACTCAAGTTCAAACAACACCCAAATATCAAGTTTAACATTTGCCAAAACCTCAAGTTCAAAAACACCACAAACTCAAGTTCTAAACGACAAAAACTCAAGTTCAACAAACACACGAACTCAAGTTCAACAATTGCCACCAACTAATGTTCAGAGAAAAATACAGACTCAATGTTAACAATTGCCACAAACTCAAGTTCAACAAACACCACAAGCTTAAGTTCAAAAAATGCCAAAATTTCAAATTACACAAATAACCTATATTAACATTAAAGAATTGCCAAAAAAGTTCAACAAACTCAGGTTCAAAAAACACACAATTTCAAGTTCAAAAACACCACAAACTCAAGTTCAAAAATGCCGAAACTTAATTTCAACCAACACCCAAATCTCAAGTTTAACAAATTGCCACAACCTCATGTTCAAAAACAACAGAAACTCAAATTCAAAAACACCAAAAACTCAAGTTTAAAAAAACCCACACAAATTCAAGATCACAAAACAGCAAAATCTCAAGTTCAAACACGACACAAACTCAGGTTCAACAAACACACAAACTCAAGTTTAACAATTGCCACCAAATAAAGTTCACTAAAAACCAAAGACTCAAGTTAAAAACTCAAGTTCAAAAATTGCAACAAACTCAAGTTCAAACACAACACTCAAGTTCAAACATGACACAAACTCAAGTTCAAACACGACACAAACTCAAGTTCAAACACGACACAAACTCAAGTTCAAACACGACACAAACTCAAGTTCAAACAACACCCAAATATCAAGTTTAACATTTGCCAAAACCTCAAGTTCAAAAACACCACAAACTCAAGTTCTAAACGACAAAAACTCAAGTTCAACAAACACACGAACTCAAGTTCAACAATTGCCACCAACTAATGTTCAGAGAAAAATACAGACTCAATGTTAACAATTGCCACAAACTCAAGTTCAACAAACACCACAAGCTTAAGTTCAAAAAATGCCAAAATTTCAAATTCAACAAATAACCTATATTAACATTAAAGAATTGCCAAAAACTCAAGTTCAACAAACTCAGGTTCAAAAAACACACAAATTCAAGTTCAAAAACACCACAAACTCAAGTTCAAAAATGCCGAAACTTAATTTCAACCAACACCCAAATCTCAAGTTTAACAAATTGCCACAACCTCATGTTCAAAAACAACAGAAACTCAAATTCAAAAACACCAAAAACTCAAGTAAAAAAAAACCACACAAATTCAAGATCACAAAACAGCAAAATCTCAAGTTCAAACACGACACAAACTCAGGTTCAACAAACACACAAACTCAAGTTTAACAATTGCCACCAAATAAAGTTCACTAAAAACCAGACTCAAGTTAAAAACTCAAGTTCAAAAATTGCAACAAACTCAAGTTCAAACACAACACTCAAGTTCAAACATGACACAAACTCAAGTTCAAACACGACACAAACTCAAGTTCAAACACGACACAAACTCAAGTTCAAACACGACACAAACTCAAGTTCAAACAACACCCAAATATCAAGTTTAACATTTGCCAAAACCTCAAGTTCAAAAACACCACAAACTCAAGTTCTAAACGACAAAAACTCAAGTTCAACAAACACACGAACTCAAGTTCAACAATTGCCACCAACTAATGTTCAGAGAAAAATACAGACTCAGTGTTAACAATTGCCACAAACTCAAGTTCAACAAACACCACAAGCTTAAGTTCAAAAAATGCCAAAATTTCAAATTCAACAAATAACCTATATTAACATTAAAGAATTGCCAAAAACTCAAGTTCAACAAACTCAGGTTCAAAAAACACACAAATTCAAGTTCAAAAACACCACAAACTCAAGTTCAAAAATGCCAAAACTTAATTTCTACCAACACCCAAATCTCAAGTTTAACAAATTGCCACAACCTCATGTTCAAAAACAACAGAAACTCAAATTCAAAAACACCAAAAACTCAAGTTAAAAAAACCCACACAAATTCAAGATCACAAAACAGCAAAATCTCAAGTTCAAACACGACACAAACTCAGGTTCAACAAACACACAAACTCAAGTTTAACAATTGCCACCAAATAAAGTTCACTAAAAACCAGACTCAAGTTAAAAACTCAAGTTCAAAAATTGCAACAAACTCAAGTTCAAACACAACACTCAAGTTCAAACATGACACAAACTCAAGTTCAAACACGACACAAACTCAAGTTCAAACACGACACAACTTCAAGTTCAAACACGACACAAACTCAAGTTCAAACAACACCCAAATATCAAGTTTAACATTTGCCAAAACCTCAAGTTCAAAAACACCACAAACTCAAGTTCTAAACGACAAAAACTCAAGTTCAACAAACACACGAACTCAAGTTCAACAATTGCCACCAACTAATGTTCAGAGAAAAATACAGACTCAATGTTAACAATTGCCACAAACTCAAGTTCAACAAACACCACAAGCTTAAGTTCAAAAAATGCCAAAATTTCAAATTCAACAAATAACCTATATTAACATTAAAGAATTGCCAAAAACTCAAGTTCAACAAACTCAAGTTAAAAAAGTGCCACAAAATGAAGTTCAAAAACACCACAAACTCAAATTCAAAAAACACACAAACTCAAGTTCAAAAACACCACAAACTCAATTTCAAACACGATACAAACTCAAGTTCAACAAACACCACAAACTCAAGTTCAACAAATGTCACAGTTTCAAGTTCAACCAACACCCGATTCTCAGGTTTAACAATTTCCACAACCTCAAGTTCAAAAAACACCACAAACTCAAGTTCAAACACGCCACAAACTCAAGTTCAACAAACGCCACAAACTCAACTTCAAAAACACCACACAAACTGAAGTTCTAAAACGACACAAACTCAAGTTCAACAAACACAACAAGTCAAGTTCAAGCAACACCCGATTCTCAAGTTTAACAATTTCCACAACCTCAAGTTCAAAAAACACACAAACTCAAGTTCAAAAACACCAGAACCTCAAGTTCAAAAAACATAATAAACTCAAGTTCAAATATTCCACAAACTCAAGTTCAATGAACACCACAAACTCAAGTTCAACCAACACCCGATTCTCAAGTTTAACAATTGCCACAACCTCAAGTTAAAAAAAACACAAACTCAAGTTCAAACACTTCACAAACTCAAGTTCAACAAACGCCACAAACTCAAGTTCAACAAATGCCACAAACTCAAGTTCAACAATTGCCACCAACTAAAGTTCACTAAAAACCAAAGACTCAAGTTCAACAATTGCCAAAAAATCAAGCGAAACAAACTCAAGTTCATAAGTTGTCACAAACTTCAAACACGACACAAACTCAAGTTCAAAAACACCACAAACTCAAGTTCAAAAAGACACAAACTCAAGTTCAACAAACAAAACTAACTATTTAGAGTAATTTTGAGGTGTTTGAGAGGTTTTTTGTGGACTTACCCTAGTGGTCCTATGTTGTTGTTGATGTGAGGCGTTTCTTTTCCAGTAGTCTAAAATCTGTTGGAGGGGGGAAAAGGTTCCAGTTGTCCAGCCGCGGCGGCAGCGGTGTGTCTGAAGTCCGGGGTCCTCGGCGGGGGAAAGAAGATAGGCGCTCCGCGGCAAGGTTTGCTGGGACTCGGTGCCGTCGGCAGGTCGAAGCTCGGTGGTGGGCGGCTTGGAGTGATGGTGGAGCGGCGTCTTCTTTCAGGTGGCGGCGCGGCGTCTTCGTCGAGGCGGTGGTCAGTCTTCTTGGTCCAGTGGTCAGTGCTTTGTCTCAATTACAGCAACAGGAATTGCTCTTTAGTACACAGCACTTAAATGTGCTTTTGACAGGAGAAGACATCCCAGAGTTGGGCTCAAGTCATGGTTTGTGCTGTTCCTCTCAGACATGGTTGTGTTCTCTTCTCGATGTTTGTATTCCAGAATGGATGTCTCTTGGTTGTATTTTAAACTTGGTTGTATTTTGTATGCAATCGTAAGGGATTGTGGGTATTTTAGTTCTAAAGGGGATGAGAGCCTAAGGAATCAATCTTCCTGTTACAGCAAAGGATTGTGGGTAAAACCGTGAGTGAGTGAGGTACTTCCTTTCTGCCATAAGAGCCTTGGGAATCAATCTCCCTGTTGCAGCAAAGGATTGTGGGTAAAACCGTGAGTGAGGGAGGTACATTTTTCCTGGCATGAGAACCTCAGGAGTCAGTCCTTCCTAAGAAAAAAGAGGGGAAAGACAAACAAAAGCACAGGAACCCTAAAATGAAATAAAATAAAATAAAATAAAATAATATAAAACAATGAAAAAATAAAAAATAAAAGAAGAACAAAAGTGGATTGCAAAAGGGAAAGGAGAAGAAAAAAGGAAAAAAAGAAGTGTCAAGAGCAAATAGCAAAAAACAGAAGTGAGCTTAAAAACAGAGAACAGTTCCCTAAAAGACAGACAGAAATGTAAATTTGATCAATGTCCTAAGGGAAAATCTGCACGTGTATGTGTGTTCTTTTTTACTAGCTTAGTCTGGTGTCACTGATGGTCAGTTATCAATAAGTATTTATTATATAAATTTTTGATTAAGTTGTTTGTAGTGGGGTTAGCTGGCTAATTTTAGAGTGTTAAAAAAGATGTTAGAGGGGGAGGATTTAGGTGGCACGGCGGTTCCCCTTCAGGTCTCTCTTAATCCTCAATATAGGTGACCCAACAGGGGTTACCCCCCCGCCGGGGTAGGGCGAGGCTGAAGATCACCGATTTGTCCTCTGTGAAGGTGAAAATAAAGGGGCAGGGGAGGGAATAAGAAAGAGGGGGGGTGTTAGAGAGAGAGAGAGAGAGAAGGGAAGAGGGAGAGGGGGGTTTAAGGGAGAGGTGGAGATGGTGGAAAATAAAGATTGGTGAGGGGGATTTGGTGGCGGATGAAACATCCCATAGCTCCCCAGCTCTCACCATCCATGTGAGGAGAGTGAGCAAGGGACATAGTCACCCGACCCGACTAGGTCTAGGCTCTGCTCTCCTCACGGTCCTCACAAGATACAAAGAGATATGTAAACGTGGAAGTGAGAGTTCTCTAGGCAGAGTTTTGGGTTTGGTTTGAGCTGAGTTGGTCAGTTGATTATTGATTACTATTTTAAGTTCTAAAAGTGGATAGAGTCAAAAAGTCACAGAGGATTGTGGTGGGAGCAGGTGGTCCATCTGGCACCATTCTGCTCATGCAGGGATTCGAGTGATAGAAAGAGAATAGATCTTGCCACCGTGACTCGCCATTGAGACTCTCCTCACCTGCTGGTTTTCATCCTCTGATAGGAGAGAGAGGTACAGATCAGGAGAGAGGGAGAAAAGGAGGGAGGCAGGGTGGGGTCAGGAGTTAATTTGTCTTGAAAAGTATTTATCTTTTCGTCATTGCTGTTAGGGTTTAGATGTTTTTTGTTTAGTTTTCTGAGGAATGTAGTGTTAGTATAGGTTCCAAGATGGAGGATTCTTTGGAATTCACTCTCACCCTTGAAACTGGAAGATCTTAGATTCTATAAAGGGGGGGGGGGGGGGGGGGGGTGAGAGGTTGTGTGCACAAAAGGAGCATGGGCTCAGACTATTCTCGGAATGATATTGTGACAAGTCTTTCCGAAGGTAAGTGGCTGGTTAGGGGAAGTGGGAAAGAGATAGAGTGATAGCCCCAGCTTTCGTCAGTTGACTTGGCGGTTTGAGGTAGGCTGATCAAGGGCTTGCACTGGCCGGCGCATGTCGACCTGTCACATGTTCCAGTCGAGTCTCCGAGCTCAATCTGTGTGTAAAAATTATGTGTTGGTAGAAAGTTTAATGACTCAGCTCAGTTGGTATGCTATGCTGTCTATCTTTTAGACTATGTGTTTGTAGAGCAATATTATGTATATATTATGTTACAGGGCTAGGAAAAGGTTAAAGGTTTTTGGCGTTAGGGTTAAAATCACTGTCCAAAACCTTTGTAGGAACTCTTTTCGATCCTTTTGGAGGGAGCTAGACTAGAAAAAAAAGAAAAAAGAAAAAAAAAAATTTGGGGTGTTCGGGCTTCCTGAAGGTAATACCCGGGTATTAGGTTATGGGGCTAGGGTAAGGTTTAAGGCTTTTGGCGTATGGGTTAAAATCACTGTCCAAAACCTTTTTAGGAACATGTTTCAGACCTTTTGGAGGTAGTTAGACCAAAAAAAATGAAAAATGAAAAAAATATATTTGGGGTGTTCGGGCTTCCTGAAGGTAATACCCGGGTATTAGGTTAGGGGCTAAGGTAAGGTTTAAGGTTTTTGGCGCGAGGGTTAAAATCACTGTCCAAAACCTTTGTAGGAACTCTTTTCCAACCTTTTGGAGTTAGTTAGACCACAAAAAATGAAAAATAAAAAAAAATTATTTGGGGTGTTCGGGCTTCCTGAGGGTAATACCCGGTATTAGGTTTTGGGGCTAGGGTAAGGTTCAAGGTTTTTGGCGATAGGGTTAAAATCACTGTCCAAAACCTTTGTAGGAACTCTTTTCCAACCTTTTGGAGTTAGTTAGACAAAAAAAAAAAGATAAATGAAAAAAAAATATTTGGGGTGTTCGGGCTTCCTGAAGGTAATACCCGGGTATTAGGTTTTGGGGCTAGGATTAGGTTTAAGGTTTTTGGCATTAGGGTTAAAATCACTGTCCAATATTTTTTAAGGAACATGTTTCAGACCTTTTGGAGTTAGTTAGACAAAAAAAAAAAGAAAAAAGAAAAAAAAATATTTGGGGTGTTCGGGCTTCCTGAAGGTAATACCCGGTATTAGGTTTTGGGGCTAGGGTAAGGTTCAAGGTTTTTGGCGATAGGGTTAAAATCACTGTCCAAAACCTTTGTAGGAACTCTTTTCCATCCTTTTGGAGTTAGTTAGACCAATAAAAAAATGAAAAATGAAAAAAAAATATTTGGGGTATTCAGGCTTCCTGAAGGTAATACCCGGGTATTAGGTTTTGGGGCTAGGATTAGGTTTAAGGTTTTTGGCATTAGGGTTAAAATCACTGTCCAATATTTTTTAAGGAACATGTTTCAGACCTTTTGGAGTTAGTTAGACAAAAAAAAAAGAAAAATGAAAAAAAAATATTTGGGGTGTTCGGGCTTCCTGAAGGTAATACCCGGGTATTAGGTTATGGGGCTAGGGTAAGGTTTAAGGTTTTTGGCGTAAGGGTAAAAATCACTGTCCAAAACCTTTGTAGGAAGTCTTTTCCATCCTTTTGGAGTTAGTTAGACCAATAAAAAAATGAAAAATGAAAAAAAAATATTTGGGGTGTTCAGGCTTCCTGAAGGTAATACCCGGGTATTAGGTTTTGGGGCTAGGATTAGGTTTAAGGTTTTTGGCGTTAGGGTTAAAATCACTGTCCAATATTTTTTAAGGAACATGCTTCAGACCTTTTGGAGTTAGTTAGACCAAAAAAAAAGAAAAAAGAAAAAAAATATTTGGGGTTTTCGGGCTTCCTGAAGGTATTAGGTTTT